CCCATTGTTACTAACGTTATTCTTAATTTTGATGACTACTGTAGGAATGCTGACAACACTGACTCCATCTTTGGTCCTTCATCCTGGGCGCTCTGGTGCACAGGTGGCACCATTTAGATAACTACCCTGTGACTTTATTAGCGTGCTCCTCCCTCCATAAGAGCTGGGGATTAAGGTCCAGGTAGTTGCAGAGAATGGGGAGGGAGGTGGTGGAGGAGAGCTGCATAGTGCCCTGCATCATTGGCTGGTGCCCGCCCGCTAATCCCTATCAGTAAGCTATTACCCCAAATGAAATTTTGTGGAAATGGTATAGAGTGGCTTACTTTGTTCTTTGGTATTAAAGTGACTTTTCAGACTGGAGGATGCAGTACTGACCCTCCTCCACCCCCTGACAATTGGCATGGTTTGCAGGATACCGGAAACAACGCAAACGTGGGTAAAGGGGCTGTGCCAGGGGAAAGCCTGTCGTCCTGGGGCCGGGGGTGGGGAGCCCCAGGCTGGCTAACTACCTCCACACGGGGAGCCTTGGGCAGGTTTTTTGAGCATTTTGGATCAGTATGTGAGTATGGGGCTGTCCTGTAAACACTCCAGGGATTGTTAGATACCCTATTTGCAATGGTGAGGAAAGAAAATGGAGATGAGACTGTGAAAGAGATATTTTGGGGGTAGTTTCGCGGTTAATCTGTCCCTAGTAATATGCCACGGGCTGGGAATTAGGAGTAAGGAGAGAACTGGAACAGACCAGAGAAGTGTTGGCTTTGAAAAAAGATGAATGTGGGGCGCCTGGGTGGCTTAGTCGGTTAAGCGTCCGACTTTCGCTTAGGTCATGATCTCACGGTTCGTGGGTTCGAGCCCCGCGTCGGGCTCTGTGCTGACTGCCAGCTCAGAGCCTGGAGCCTGTTTCAGTCTGTGACTCCCTCTCTCTCTGACCCTCCCCTGCTCACGCTGTCTCTCTCTCTCCTAGAAATAAATAAAAATATTAAAAAAAAAAAAAAAGAAAAAAGATGAATGAGCTGTGCTCTCCTCTAATGCAGACATGTCCGCAAGAATTCAGTGTTAGGAGGAAGGGTTAGAAATCAGATGGCAAAGATGTGTGGGCACAGACCACTGTGCACCAAAGTGAGAACTGCTCTGTCTCGAGAGACTTGTACCTCCAAAGCATGGGATCCCTGGGGTGATGACTCCTCTGGTGAGGAGGACGTTATCATGGAGAAGGGAAAGGATTTACAGGCAAGTCCTTGGAGTCAAATTAAGACCTAGGCTACTCTTGAGCCTGGGGACGATGGAGAAGAAATTCCCACTAGTCAGAAAGTGGCTATGAGGGAATATTCTACAAATGAATTAGTGGAGCTAATGATCTGCTTTAAGCACAAGTGGGTATGTTATGACTGTGGGATATTGGGGGACATGGACTTCAATATCTGCCCCTATGATTAATCAACCCAGTGCTAGAGTAGCTGCTATGGTGGCTGGCTTAAGTGAAGTGAAGCTAGAAGAATATGTCATAAGGGAAATCAGGTATAGTTATTTGTAGAAGTTCAATAAGAATCTTTTTTCCAGGGCACCTGGGTGACTCAGTTAAACATCCAACTCTTTTTTTTTTTTTTTTAATATTTTTATTTATTTCTAGGAGAGAGAGAGAGAGACAGCGTGAGCAGGGGAGGGTCAGAGAGAGAGGGAGACAAAGACTCCGAAACAGGCTCCAGGCTCTGAGCTGGCAGTCAGCACAGAGCCCGACGCGGGGCTCGAACCCACAAACCGCAAGATCATGACCTAAGTGAAAGTCGGACACCCAACCGACTAAGCCACCCAGGCGCCCCTAAACATCCAACTCTTGGTTTCGGTTCATGTTGTGATCTCTTAGTTTGTGGTATTGAGGCTGAGAGCCCAGAGCCCACTTGGGATTTTTCCTTCCTTCCTTCCTTCCTTCCTTCCTTCCTTCCTTCCTTCCTTCCTTCCTTCCTTCCTTCCTTCCTTCTTTCCTTCCTTCCAAAAAAAAAAAAAAATCTATTTTCCTTGTAACATGGCACCATTGGAAACAGTTGTATTACCAAGGCCTTGACTGAAATGTCCTATTTGAGAGAGACCTGCATAGACTCCAATGACCAGATAGCTTTAAGGAACTAAGGTTGACCTTATGGATCCAGTGAACACCTGTGAGGGAAAAAATTGGGCTGGTACCTTGCTTACAGGGTTCCTGGGAGCCTTACCAGGTAAGTAAGCAAGGTCATTTCCTGGCAGGTTCACGATATGTTGGGGGCCTCAAGAAGAGGAAGTAACCCAAATCTACAGGCATTGCAGTGGAGTCTAATAGCAAGCACGTGGCTTGGCTCAGCCTTGAAAGGCTGTTAAAGGCTCAACCTGAAATTCCTATGAAAAGTTCCAGCAAACCAGATTTAAAAGAACTTAAATGGCCAGCCACTATTCTTGCTGCGTTTATGTAAATAGGCCAAGTTTGTTAAAACTGGACTTGTTCTATAAACTACTTAGTCTTAATTTGGCTGCCTTTGACTGTGATTTTGGAGAGGAAAGAAAATGTTTCAGTAACAAACCTTTATGGGTAATAGATTATAGTTCTGATTAATTGTCAGAATATTTATTGTTTTTTGTTTATTAAATATTTATTGTTTACCTATAAAACTAGCCTGGATCCTGAATTCTTCTGGATTCCTTGTATATCTGGCTAATTATCTATCTGATTGTTTACACACTATGGGCCTGACTTTGAAAGCCCACCTGCAGAACCACCTCCTGAAATAAGACCACTCCCTGTTTAACTCAACTGACTAATTGACCTTGTTATGAAATGTAGAATAAGAGGCTAAGTGCAGAGCCTGACGTGGAGCTCGAACCCATGAACCAGGAGATCATGACCGGAGCCAAAATCAAGTCAGATGCTTAACGACTGAGCCACCCAGACACCCCAAAATCTGTTTGCTTTTCAGTGCCTACTAACAGTGCTGTTACTTGGATGTCCCATAACTTATGTGCCCCATGTGATAGAAATCTATGTGGTTTTTAACCTGTCATAAGCGGTGCTGCAGTAAATAGTACAGTGGGTGTGTCTGTAGCATAAATTCCTAGAAGTGAAATTACTGAATGAAGAGTATATGGATGGGCTCAAAATTTGCATATATGGTGAAAATTAACCTCCATAGAGGTCCTTCCTCTGTCTCACCAACTTTTTGATATTTGCTGATCAGTTAAGTGAAAAATTGCATATTGTTATAATTTGAAATTGCACTAATTATCAGTAAGGTTAAACACCAGTTCTTGTGCTTAAAAGCCACGTGTGGTATTTTTTTCTTTAAATTTTCCATTCTCTACTCTTTGCGCTGGATTTTTGTTTTTGTTTTATTTTTTATTTTTTATTTTTTTTACAAATAGTTTATTGTCAAATTAGTTTCCACATAACACTCAGTGCTCATCCCCAAAGTGCCCTCCTCCATGCCCATCTTTTGTTTTTGTTTTAAATTGCTTTGTAGGAGTTCTTTATAACATAAATTGTCCTTTTTGATATGGATTGCTCAGTATATTTCTAATCAATTTCTAAGAGTTTAATATACATAAGCCTGTGGCAAGTTTTGTTCTTTTCCCTTGGCCTGAGGAGCTGGTTAGTATTCTCTTCACCTGACCTCAAGTCATTCTTGGCTTGGGGCTTAACTCCACCTTGCTCTATTTTACTTCTAATTTACCTAAAGGTAAATATAACTTCCTGCTTCCAAAGCTGTCCTGTTTTTCTAGAAAAAAGTCCACAGCCTCATGTGAGGAAAGCACAATATAGAGTATTATGTACTTGAGAAAAACATTTTCTTTATCAACATGTCTTTGTTTTTATGCCTTGCTAAATAACAACACTGGTCCCATCACAGATGGATTCATCGCCCTCCTTGTCTGGTTTTCATTACAAGCAACCCAATATATCTGCCTGCACTATTCTGGATGAATGTGTAACATGGGAATGAGTAGTAGGGATAGATGGATAGCAGTTGGAAGGGATGAGGATAGAGGAGAGTACTAAAGATCCTCATTTTGAGAGCTAAGGTTCTGGTGGACTTCCTCAGTAGAAGTATTAATTTTTCATTCTGATGGGTGGAGGCGATTCTTTAGAACAATACAATGTGTATGATGTCTTATGAACTCACAGGACAAATATCGATTGCCTTGAAGTCCTCCTCGGGTGACATAGTCACAATGGTTTGCAATATTAACTTCAAAGGTTCTATGGGGAAGAAGTGGGAAATAATAACCAAGGAAAGGGAATATGGCCAAGGAAAGTAGAAATCCCAGTTTGGGTAGGGGATGCCCTTTTCAAATCTATTTTTATTAGTGACCTATTATATAACAAATTACTCAAACTTCGGCATTAGAAACCCGTTTCTTCTCTCAACATTTTCTGCGGGCCAGGGATTTGGGAGCAGCTTACCTGGGTTCTGTTTTAGGGTCTCTTATGAGGTTGCAGCTGACATGCTAGAAGACACTAAGGCCATCCGAAGGTCTGAGTGGGACTAGAGCATCTAATTCTAAGATGACTCACTCATATGGCTGTTGCCAAAAGGTCTCCGTCACTTACCAAGTGGATCTCTTTACAGAGCTACTTGAATGTCCTCATGATGGTATTGGTAGCTTTCCATGAAGTGAGTGATCTGAGAAAGAGAACAAGGAAGCCATACTGTTTATTACCTTCTAGCATATTCTGTTCTTTAGAAGTGAGTCACTAAGCTCACAGTCAAGAAAAGGGGTACCAAGATCTACTTTTTGAAGGAAGAATATCAGAATTTATGAACATAGTTTGAAACCACCATACTCCACATTCCTCAAAACCATATCCTAGCGACCATTGAACTTCATTTCATTACTTAACTACATATATTCGTTGATGACAGAATTATTTCTTATATGTTCTCTGAATCACTGCATACCATTTTTATTATCTTCATCAGGAACCATTCTATTCTAAAGAATTATCTCGTCTTAACAGTGGTCTTTTTCCTTCTCAGGTGCTTGTTGGGTTCCTTCTTATTCTAGCAGCCATAGAGCTGGTCCTTGTACTCACAGAAGACTCTGGACAAGCTACGGTCCCTGCCATTAGATACACCAATCCAAGCCTTTACCTGGGCACATGGGTAAGGCCTATCCCCACTCCTACCTTGTTTATCCTCTGCCTATTATAGTCCTCTAGTTGATATGCACTCTTCTGGAATAAAGCTAAGTCCAGTTTCATCTGCCTTTTTTGAGGGGCCTATGATGAGACAAAGCTTGCATTGTAATGGAGTTAAATCAGACTTTAGCTTTTCATATTCTTTTGAACACTAACTTCTAGATCCTCTTCCCTAGTGTAAATACTAGCTCTGTTGACAAGGGTACATATCTCATGCCCTCCTATCCTTCCATCTAATAATTTATACCAGAGTGGGTGTCAGTCTGGCCGAGGTAGAGACCTGCTCTCTGGTGGTCAGCACCATGACCCTGTTCCACTTCGGGAATGGCTTTGCCCTCAACTACTTCCTCTACTTCATCACCTCCAAGTGCAGTGGCCTGAGTACAATGCCTCCTGGAAACGCGTGCAGGCCAGGGTCACCCACCTCTTCATGCAGCTGTGCAAGATGCTGTTCCTGGCCCCCTTTTTCTTTTTCCTCACCCAGGAAGGGGGCATGTATGAGTTCATGAAGGCCAGCATGGATGTGGCAGACTTGATAGGCCTAAACCTTGTCATGTCCCAGAATGCAGGCAAGGGGGAGTACAGGTCGTGGTTGCTTTCCTGGGCTGGGCCACTGCCACACTCGTTATCTCCCACAGCATCCCCCTCTGAGTTGGAGCCCAGGGCACTGAGTTTGACTGGAAGTACATTCCAGAAGAGCATGGACTCCAACATCAGTCTGGTCCATTCAACCGACGCATCTGCTCAGGTCTAAATGATTGCACGCTACAACCAGTACCACACTTTTCCACCAACACTACTCCACTGGTGTTCCTTAGTGCTAGGAGATCTTTGTGCACATGTGTCCTGGACAGCCCTGCTGGCCCTCCACACCCTGGCCTGTATGTCCCTGTTGTCAACATGCACCCCTAGGCTTGGTGTCCCAGACATTCACATGCCCTTTCCCTGCCTCCAGGTTTCAGTGAAATAAACAGTATTTGGAAAGTAAAAAAAAAAATTATACTAGAAACCCAGGTTTCTTGATGTAAAAGAATTCTCTAAATACTGTAAATGTTCTTTAATTTTTTTAGTGTTTTTTTTTTTTGAGAGAGAGGGAGAAAGAGAGTGTGTGAGTGGGGAAGGGACAGAGAGAGAGAGAGAGAGAGAGAGACAGAATCCAAAGCAGGCTGCAGGCTCTGGGCTGTCAGCACAGAGTCTGACATGGGGCCCGAACTCATACTTTGAGATCATGACCTGAGCCAAAGTCATACACTTAACCACCTGAGCCACCTAGGCACCCCTGTAAATGTTATTCTTAAATTGACTAATACTATTACCAATGGATCATTGAGTCTAGGCTTGTCTGTATAAACTTGATAACAGAAATGGCTATCTCTCCTACAGGCTGTTTTTGGGGAGGCCTGTGCAGTGTTTAAACAACAAATGAATTAGTTGCCACCGTTTTTTAAAAGAGGAATATGCCACATAACTCTGTGGATTTCTAACTTCCTTGAAAACCAGAATGCATGGCACCAATGGGCTTGTATCCCCATAGGGCAATGGTCAGCTGGCCTGAGCGGCAGTCATCCCTGTTAGATTAGGCGTCTGCTCAGCCTAGTCTTCCACCTTCACTTCACTCAAGAGCATACGTGGCCTGGCCCTTGTGGGCATTGTGTTTGCTACTGTTGTTATAAAACAAGAAGGGTGTAGGTACGGTGTGCTGGAGCCTGCTCACAGAGTTATGTGTGTCTCTTCTCAATGCTGTTTAGTGACTGTGTGTTGGGGCTTTACATCCACCACTACGGTAATAATCTTAATGCCACAGAAATTAGCAAATGCTGCTGAGTATGGCTCACGGCTCAGCAAAGTGTCTAGGAAACAAACATTTAATTATACATAAGTGAGCTGTTACAAGGCAAGTTGGGTTTTTTTTTAATTGCTTAGTTTGATATTATTAGAAAATCCGAGGAGTGCCTGAATGGCTCCGTCAGTTAGGCATCCAACTTCAGCTCGGGTCCTGATCTCCCTGTTCGTGGGTTCGAGCCACTCCGTTGGGCTCTGTGCTGACAGTTCGAGCCTGCCTCAGAGTCTGTCTCTCCCTCTCTCTCTGTCCTTCTTCCACTTGTACTGTCTGTCTCTCAAAAAAAAAAAAAAAAAAGTTAAAAAAAAGAAAAAATAGTAAAAAGAAAATCCTACAGGCAGCTTGTACTCCTCCAGCAGAATCTGCCTCCCCAGGTGAGCTTCTGTAGTGCCTGACATTAACTTCCTTGGGTCTTGAAGACTTTTCTGGCTCTCACAGTAACTGCATTAAATGCAGTAGATGACCCTCTGTGTTTTGGGCTAACTCCCCACCCAAGTGCATTATACAGATGTAGGAGTGGGGAAGGGGGTCCCAGGGAGAGCCCTGAGGCTGATGCCCTGAAAGGGAAAGATGGGTGGGATCAGGAAGGAAGTCTACAATTCGGCATTGTGCGTTTTCTGGTTGGCCAGATTAGTTATAACTGTCTCCTCCTTTGACCCACTGCATGCTTGTTCTCTGGCCTGTTTCTTCCTCTTATTCTCGGTTAGTGACCGTATTTTTCAGAACTTGATGTGAACCTCTCTCTAGCTCCTGGTTTTGCTGCTCCAACACAGCAGGCGATGGTGTATGCAGAAGGACTCGTGGTTCCTGTCTGTATTCTGGATTCTCTCAGTGGTCTGTGGCGTCTTCCAATTTCAGACTCTGATCCGGATGCCCTTAAATGTAAGGAGGAAAGAGGGTGACACGAGGAGGTAGTGGTGAGCACCTTCTAAGAGTAAATGGCATACAGTCAGTTGAACTCTGGGATAGAATTGGGGAATTTCATGATAGGCTTTAATTATGAGTGTTGACATATATGGGACATTTAGACTTAATTTGGAAAAAGGCTCATTTTCTCTTTTTTTTGTTTGTTTTTTTGTGTTTTTTTTCCCTGCATAGGGCAACAATTCCAATCTGGCTTACTCCTGCCTGTTCTTCATCTGCTATGCACTGCACGTCCTGATCCTGATCCTTTCAGCATTTTCAGAAAAAGATGACTCCTCAAATGTGAGACATTAAATCTTCCTACCTCATGTAGTGTTTAGTTGGATCGTATCTTGACACATGTAACTTATAGATGCGTAGGTCTCCTGGAGGACCCACAATCCCACAATATGGCAGTGTGGACACTTTATGATTTCAGGAAACATTGACTAGCATGTGGAAATACTCTTCTGAGAGTGGAAATAATTTGACATTGACCCACCAGTCTTCAGCATAGACAATTCACTCCTATATCTATGCTGGAAAATCTGATTTTTACTGGTGACTTCAGGGTCTCCAGATAAATCTATGTTGTCCAGTCTACTTCAGTAGTATGTCTACTTTTTAGCATAACATTAGGTCTAGAAAAATTAGTTTCTGATTTAGAGTCTCAGAGTTCCTGTTTCAAATTGAATTACTTTTTGATTTGTGTGTGTGTGTGTGTGTGTGTGTCTTGCAGAATCCATCATTGACGGCCTCATTTCTGAGTAGCATTACCTTTAGTTGGTATGACAGGTAGGAAACACCCAGAGTGTGGGCTCTCTATATCCCTACCCCTTCATTCTTCTGAAAGCGATGGAAATCTTAGTTTTAAAAATGCTTCCTGAGGCCTCTATTTCTCCTCTTAGAGTCCAAGAATGTTAATATAATCTGTTTATTTCAGAGGATGTGGAGGAGAGGGTGGAGGGGGATTTGCTCTTGGTGCTCTTGGTGGTCTTCCACAAGGAAGACTAATGACCTTAGGAAAAAGAGGCAGAAGGACAAGAAAAGGAATATTTAGGTGAGGGCAATGTGGCACGATTTGGAGGGTAAGGGATGAAAGGGCTAGGCTACCAAAGATCTTGAGCATTCTTGGCAGGCTGGCGATGTCTATGAATCTCTTCTCAAATCATGTTTTAAGTGAATAATGTAAAAGGTATAGGGTTACAAAGGAAACCAAATATATTGAAATATAATCACTTAAATATTAAAACACAAATTCGTGATGTAGTAACACAAAAGCTCCTTCAAGAATGCATTCAATGACAAGATCTAGTGATAGACCTAATCGTGATCACAACTTCAAAGTTGTGATGATGTAAATGAGCCATGAAAACACTGTGATGTCCCTTGGTGTCCAAGGCACAGGCAGTCCTTTTCACAACTGTTTGGTAGCCGACATTCGTGTCCTAAGGAAAGGCTAAAATTCAGTTGGAAGCTAATAAAGATAAAGATATAACTTATTTTGTATCCACGTCCTCCAATACCAGGTTGATGGGCCCTGATCTAGGGAGACCATATAGAGGAGGCCTCCAGGGATGCTCAGCTCCTTTAGGGCATCATGAAAGCCCCTCAGGGAGATGCCAGAGTGGTAGAGAGGCAGCCAGTGTTTGAGGAGGAAGGATGGGGAGGAGGTGATGCTCTTTGGCTTTTAATTCGGTAGTACCACCCCTCTTTCCTTCTTCCTCATCTTATTCCATGTTCCATCACCTCTCCTGTCTGTTTTTTTCTGCCCTCCCCACTCCTCTGCCACGTTTAAAGGGCCAGGAGATGGAGCAGTGGGCCTCTTCCCATCCTCTGTCTCTCCTTCTCTGAACGGGGGATGGGGGGTGGAGGGGTGGGGGGGGGGTTGATAGAAGCAGCAAGAGCACCCCACCCCCTAACTCTGCCTGTAAGGTCTCAGCCTGGGGGTCACTCTGGTTCCAGCACTGTTCTGAAAGGCTACAAGCAACCTCTGACACTCGAAGATGTCTGGGATATTGATGAAAAGATTAAAACGAAGACCCTGATCAGCAAGTTTGAAAAACACATGGCAGGAGAGCTGCAGAAGGCCAGGAAGGTGGTCCAGAGACGACAGCGGGCGAGAGCGCAGGGGGAGTCCAGAGACAGGCTGCCTGGCTTGAACAAGAATCAGAGTCAAAGCCGAGATATCCTTGTCCTGGTAACGTTCCCATGAGTTCTGTGTGAGTGTGCTCTATGTCTCAGCAGAAGGACATCAGTGGCCTAGTGATTCTGTCCTTACATTTTGATAGCACTTTATACATTGCAGTGCATCTTCTATTATCTGTAGTACTCCTAACACTATAGTGATGGATACCTTTGGATATAATGTGCTATTCCTTCTCCTTTTGGGTAGGTTCGAAATTTTCTATATTTTCTTTAAAAATAGAAAAAATCTCAGTATTACTAGAATTTGCACCTTGGTGGCTTTTAGCATTAGTGGATAATTTATTCATTTATTTATTCACTTAACAGTATATATCATGTACCCAAGTATCCAGTGACTGAGACTATTCTGGGCACTGGGCATAAGGAATGGCCTGATAGAGTCACCTTTAGAGAGCTGGAAAATAAATAATAAACCAATACATATTACTCTTTGGGAGTAATAAACGCTATTAAGAAAATACCTTGGGGTGCCTGGGTGACTCAGTGGGGGGAGCATCCGACCCTTGACTTTGGCTGAGGTCATGATCCCAGGGTTGTGGGATCAAGTCCCACATTGAGCTCCATGCGGAGTGTGGAGCCTTCTTAATATTCTCTCTTCTCTGCCCTTCTCTCCTGCTCCCATGCTCTCTCTAAAAACAAACAAACAAAAACACCTGTGAATGTATTTGGTGTGAAGTGACGTTAGGGTCCTAGGAGAGCCCTCTCAGAGGATCTGATGCTTGCGCAGAGACCCAAAGTCTGAGAAGTGTCCACCAGAGAGAAGTGTAATCCAGTCCAAGGGAACAGGAGTGTGAGGCTGAGAGAAACACATTTGGTTTGTTCAGAGAGGGGAAAGAGGGCCTGGGGCATGGAGGGAGAGGCTGAGCAGGCGGTAAGATGAGCTCAGGGAAGTGGACAGGGACTGAGCTGTGTAGACCTTTGTGGACCATGGTTAGGAATATGTAGGACTCTGGGTGGGGTTTTTTGTTTTTGTTTTACAAAGACAGAAAGCCAGTGGAAGGCTTTGAGCAGAGAAGTAATGTGACCAGATTTATACTTCTGAAAGTCCATCTGGGCTGCTTCTGGGAGAATGGATGGTTGTGGGGGAAGAGTGGAAGCTGGGAGACAGGCTGGGACAGTTGCCCAGGGGAAAAAGACTGATCAGATGAGATCTCAGTGACAAAATTACAAAAGGATGTCACTGGTAGAAAAACCTGAAAACCGAGACTGAGAAACTGGAATTTGGGGCCTGATGGGACCCTGGAGAATATAATGAAGAGACCAAATCCTAGGAAAAGGAAGAGGCTGGTGAGTGCATTATAATGCCCCTTGTATTAGATTCCCGGGGCTGCCCTAACAAAACCACAAACTTAACACAATCTTTTTGTGTCACATGTAGAAAGCCAGAAGTCTAAAGTCAAAGTGTCAGCAGGGCCATGTTTCTTCCAAAACCTGTAAAGGAGAACCTTCCTTGCTGCTTTTACCTTCCGGCTTTGCTGTCCCTTGGCTTCTGGATGCATCGCCTCAATCTCTGCCTCTCTCATCACAGGACCATCTCCTCTGTGTCTGAGTCTCTTCTCTTATGAAGACATCAGTCATATTGAAGTAGGGCCCATCCCCTCTCGACTTCACCTTCACTTGATTACATCTGCAAAGGCCCTGTTCCCAAATAAAGACACATGCTGAGGTACATAATTCAACCCACAACAACCACAAGTGAGAAAAAACCAAAAAGGCTTCTGAAAGTAAAAAATATATATATTATCATGTCAACACCCTTCACTCTCAGGATTACCCTGCAGGCTGCCACTTGGAGTCTATTCTTTGTTTTTATGTGGTATTCTCAGCTTAGTTGTCTGGTTCTCTCACCCAAAATAGATTACAAGTATCAGTTAGGATGGGGAAAGGGGAACCAGTGATGGTGGCTGAAAGGGTGGGTGGTGACCAGGTAGCAAGAAGACCAAAGTCTGTACGAAGAAGGTGACAGGACTCAGGGGCTTAACACGCTGGAGCTGTGCGATACAAGACCGAGTTTTACACTGCATAGCTCTGTGAGCCCTGTTGTTTGGTTTTATACCTAGGAAGAAGTTAAAAAGAAAAAGAAGAAGTCTGGGACCACAAAAAACTATCCCAAGGCCTGGTTGGTCAAGACTCTCTTCAAAACTTTCTACGTCATATTCTTGAAGGCCTTTGTACTGAAGCTGGTGCATGACCTCTTCATGTTTCTGAATCCTCAGCTGCTGAAGTGAGTCCTGGGCCTTGCTAATGCTTTAAAGACCTCCTCTGCCTTTTGCATGCCCCTTGGATATGCACGCAGGGCTTCTATTAAATTCCCCCCCCCTTTTTTTTTAAATGCTCATGATCGTCTCCTACCTTGCAGTGCTATGTTCATGAAAAGCACAAGGCTGTTTTCAAAATCTAAAATGCTAAGTCTCTTGGCCTTCCTCTTGTCTACATCCCTCTCCTCCTAGAAAACTAGATACTAGTTCAGGGCTCTTGTAAACAGAACTGACATGAGAGGAGCCATGCCCAAAAGGTGGGCAGCAAATCCAAGAGAGCCTCATACACAGTGTCTGTAACCTCCTCTCTCTGGCCACCACCTTCAGTGGGAGGGAGGGTGAGGTTAATCATGACAAGACTTCAGTCTGCTGGAATCTATGGGATGAGCTTTCCTCGGGGCAAGTTCTAACTCACATTGGATATGCGTCTTAATTACTTTGCGGGCTTGCATTGTCCAAGAACGAATCCATTTATCCCACATGACGTTTTTTTACCAGGGGCTGGGGAGAGAACAGGCCAAAACATAGCAGTGGCAGCTCTAAGGAGAGTTTCTCATTAACCCTGTTCACAGCCATGGCTCATCAACTCTAACCTGTTGCTGCTATTCCTCCAAGCATAAGCGAGAGCATTGGCATAACTGTGGCATTCAGGTCTTCCAAAGGCATTGGACCATGCTGGTCACTTTTGTTAACTGCAGGGCAAGGGTAGGGTAGCTGGCTGTGGCTGAGCAATGTGACTGGTCCTTGGAGACCTGATGAGCATCACTCACTTGGTTTTTGTTTTGGCAGATTGATAATCTCCTTCGCAAATAACCGAGACACCTATGTGTGGACTGGATATCTCTATTCAGTCCTCTTCTTTGTTGTGGCCCTCATCCAGTCTCTCTGCCTTCAGAATTACTTTCTACTGTGCTTCATCCTGGGAGTAAATGTGCGGTCAACCATCATGGCTTCCGTATATAAGAAGGTAAGTGGATTGTGTCAGACCTCACCGCAGAACATCCCCTCAGTAGGTGTGAGCACTTACCCCAAGATTGAGAAAAATCTCATGGAAATGATAGCTGACCATAACGCTTGGTTCTGACTAACCAGATAGTCTCCTTTACTTGTTCCTTTGAAAATTGTGAAAAGCAGATTCACAGACAAAGGGTGTGTGTGTTCTGGGGACACAGGGACACACACTCCAGAGAGGAGCTGGCAAGCTATCCTCTGCCCAGGATCCGCCTTTCACCCTTGAAGGCTTGCTTGCCTGTCCTTCTCTTCCTGACTCTCCTGACAAAGTGAGAACACCTTGGAAAAGAATGTAAGATCAGGGTGTTTGCACTGGCAGCACATGTACTAAATTCGGAAAGAATGTAAGATCAGAAAAGAAGTTGGCCAAAGGCAAACTCTTAAAACCACCAACACTTAAACTGGATATTACATGAAGCTGAGTTCATAGACTTGGTGCAACCATCTCAAATTACACTGTTGCCATAGACTAGAATGTTCTGTGGGCCAGGGCTCCATCTCCCCAGACCCACTTTTGCCTGAGACGGCTTTTTCTACCCTTTAGCATCTGACCACCCCTTCTCTGCCTGACTCTTTTTTTTTCATTTTGTAAATACAGTCACTCTGGTTACTGAGTTGTGCAGACTTGGGAACATTTCCATTTCCTTATGATGATTTTGCTAATCTTTCTAACATGTTGCTTTTAACATTTCGCTTTGTCAGGACAACCATATTTTCTTTGTGTCCTAGATACCAAGGTGAAATCTCATTTTGTCCCTGAAAATAGAATCAATACTATTTCAATAAAAAATAAATAAAAACAAATAAATAGAATAGTTACAGTTAGTGACTACAAGCCTGAAGAGAAAGCTCATACATAAGGAGATAGGACTTTTTATAGAACAGAACATTAAACATCAATTGCCTTTTCTTCCTCTCCTTCTTGTACCACTAGAGAGTTCCATCATAGTGATCTCTCTGTTATAGTTGTTGTTTTTCTCCTTTGCATTTGTCTCTTAAAACCCATGTATCATTGTCTTCCCCTAGCAGATGTTGACTCCTCAAGAGGCCCAGACAGGTGGGGCACCTGGGTGGCTCATTTGGTTAAGCATGCACCATCAGCTCAGGTCATGAACTCATGGTTCGTGGGTTCGAGCCCCACATTGGGTTATGTGCTGACAGCTCAAGCCTGGAGCCTGCTTCAGATTCTGTGTCTCCCCCTCTCTCTGCTCCTTTCCCTGCTCGTGCTCTGTCTCTGTCTCTCAAAAATAAGTAAACATTTAAAAAAGAGACACTGACTGACCCCCAGACAGGTAGTCCAAATGTCTTTAGCCCAAAAGTCTGGTCAAGTCTTTTGAACTCCTGAATACCCTCACACTGGAATTTGTATTCCCCCAATTTTTAATCCCCTTATTTCTTCTGGAAATACTGGATTTCTGCTTGTTTGCAGAATATGGGGTCACTAACTAAGCTGTCTCAGCCATTTCTATGAATGTACACTTCTACAATTGTAGTGATTCATTCCTACTATTTTTGATTCTTTTTTTTTTTAATTTTACATTTACTTATTATTAAGAGACCGAGAGACCGAGCACGAATGGAGGAGGGGTAGAGAGAGGGATACATAGAATCCGAATAAGGCTCCAGGCTCTGAGCAAGCTGTCAGCACAGAGCCTGATGTGGGGCTCAAAACCACAACCCGCGAGATCATGAACTGAGCCGAAGTCGGACGTTTAACCGACTGAACCACCCAGGCGCCCCTATTTTTGATTCTTAATATATTCCAGGTTTTGCAACTATTACAATCCACAAAGAATTTTTAAAATGGTGCCGTTAATAAGACTTTTATTCAAATTAATATTGCTACTAAAATAGAATTTTAAATTGACTTTACATGTTTAGACAATGCTTCATTCATAAATGCTTCATCTATAAAATATTATGAAACATTTTTCATATCCATTATAAATCCATGGCCCTGTGAAGGAACAACATTATCTCTATTTTACAGAGAAGTAAAACTTCGATCATTTCAGTGCCTATAACCACATAGTCAGGACTTGCCCTCAGATAAGGGCTATTGGGACTAAACCAATGTCTTTTCTTCTGTACTTTGAAACGATGACCTTGAAGGGCAATTAGTTTGTTTGGCTTTTTGGTTTGGGTTTGTTTTGTTTTGTTTTTGGTACGTTTTTGCTTCTCCATACCAAAGGGGAGGCATTGCGGTGAACTGATTTCTCTAGAAACTTGGTGGCCTAATGTTTTGGGGAATATCTTTCATTTTTACTGTATAACCAAGAATCCTGTTATGTTCCAAAGAAGTATGTCTTGGTGGATAAGATGACAGTACAGTGGATGGAGGTCTGTCCCTAGGACTAACCTTAATCCATAATCTATCTTTGTTGGAATTAGAAGGCTCTCCTTCTCCAAGGAGATGCAGTGGTGTGAAGGAATGTTTGGGGCAGGGGAGGGGGGGATATTGGTGGGCAGGGTGTGAATTGGTTTCAGTGCCCCTACCCCAATCCCTTGGCAAGGTGTATTGGTGCAAGGCATTGGTATAGTGACAGACCTGTGAACAGCAGTCTTTTGATCTCTCTAACATGAGGCAGGGGCCCATGCTGTATGATTCAACATCTAGATATTGCCCACAAATTCCTGACAATAAAGAAATCATTTTGCTTCAAATGAGTGAGCTCTACAGCTTTCCTCTTATATTCTAAGATCTCTGTCATTCTTCGAGATGGTTGCAACTTCTTCATAAGAATATGGCTTCCAATAAAACTGCCACATCAGAAATCTGCATGGCCAGAATCCACATGTGATTCTTCCTTTTTTTTCTTTTTTGAAGAAATACTTTTATTTTGAAATATCTAGATTAATCCAATTAAACTATCTCAACATTGTCAACAAAAGAATGAGCTCCTTTTGATGTTCCTTTTTTTTTTTTAATTTTTTTTTTTTTATTTATTTCTAGGAGAGAGAGAGAGACAGCGTGAGCAGGGGAGGGTCAGAGAGAGAGGGAGTCACAGACTGAAACAGGCTCCAGGCTCTGAGCTGGCAGTCAGCACAGAGCCCAACGCAGGGCTCGAACCCACGAACTGTGAGATCATGACCCAAGCGAAAGTCGGACACTTAACTGACTAAGCCACCCAGGCGCCCCTCCTTTTTTTTTTTTTTTAATAGCTTATTGTCAAGTTGGTTTATTCTTCCCTTCTTTTATCCTTTGCTATCTGATTCCCTACTATGTGCCATGTGATACAGGAGTGAAATGAACAGATGCAGCCCTTGTCCTCACAGGGCTTACATCTGGTGGAGAAATAGAAAAAAAAAATTACAGTTCATTGTGATTACTGTAATAACAGAGTATAGCCCAGAATGTTATGGGAGTACACAGAGGGGTGTCCAACTCATACTCAGGAGTCCGGGGAAGTCTTCTCAGAATAAATTCCATCTAAACTGACCCTAAAGAATAATTAGGAATTTTCGGAGCAAAGAAGTGTGTGTGTTGGGGTGGGAGTGGTTGGGGGTTCAGGGAGGTGGGAATACCCTGAAAGACTAGTCAAACCGAGAGAACACTGTATAAGATTTGGAGGTAAGAAAGCCCAGCCCCTTGGAAAAGTTGTGTCTATATGGAGCCCATCCTTCTAGTGTGTTCCTACTTCCTGAGTTTCCCTTTTACTCCCCATTGTCCTTGGCCTTATCCATAGATCCCAATTCCAATCTTTATCTTTAGGCGCTGACCCTATCCAACCAGGGCAGGAAGCAGTACACCATTGGAGAAACCGTGAACCTGATGTCTGTGGATGCCCAAAAGCTCATGGACGTGACCAACTTCATCCATTTGCTGTGGTCAAATGTTCTACAGATTACTTTATCTATCTACTTCCTTTGGGCAGAGCTGGGACCCTCAGTCTTAGCAGGTGTTGGGGTGATGGTACTTCTAATCCCAATTAATGGGATACTTGCCACCAAGAGTAGAGCTATTCAGGTAAAGAAACCAAGTCACCCTGGGGAGAACTCTACACCCTCTTCAAATTCTGAAGTCTTTTGTTTACCTCTTGGGCGTTTGGGTAGGCAATGCTAATGGAAAACTTTCTACCATCCTAAATGGCTGTGGCTTTCTCTGGATTCCCTTTCCATCTTTTGAGTACTGTTAGGATTTATATACTCCAACTTTATTCATGTTAGAGGGCAGAGCCTGATTGGAGAGTGGAGATCTGCCCAGGGACCCTACACATAACTCTCCTGCTCTGCTGGACCATTCTTGGAGTAGTGATTATTAGCTCTGCTTCTCCATCATAGCAATACAAACCAATTATGCAGAGCAGACACATGAGTGACCCAAACTTTAAGCCTAAATCCTGGCAATCAACCCTGCTCCTACCAGGTGGCGGGGCTCCATGTTGACAGTCCTTTGCTAGAAGTCATAGGTTGGGTGGGTGGACTCAATGGTGTACAGGATCTAGTCATTCATTCCCTTTGCGTTCCTTTAGTTCCAAATAATTACTTTCAAAAGATTTTCTGCACATAATATTCTGGGAATCTGGCAGCAAATTAGACAAAGTTCTGGGTCTTCTGGAGCTTACTTCTATTTGGGGTGGAGAGGCAGGCCATAAACAGAAGTAAAGAAAACAATCAAGTCATGATAGTACTATGAGGAAAATTAAAGAGTGATATGATAGCAAGTGAGTGGGTGGCGGTTTTAGATTATGGGCTCAGGAAAAGCCTCTGTGAGGAGGGCACACGTGAGCTGAGCTCTGAATAACACAAGCCTGACTGCAGAGCAAGCCTTGGGAAGAACAGCCTGGGAAGAGGCACATCCAAGCAAAGCCTATAGGGGGCGGATGTGAGCAGGGCGCAGTTACCGATCAGAAAGCAGAAGGGTGTGGTGGGAGCAGCATGGGCAGAGCAGGGAAAGATGCATCTCATCACCCAGCACCTCCAGTACTTCCCAGTACTTGACAGCCACAAGTGCCACCACCCCAGGACCCAGCATCTGCAGCAAATCTGGACCCTCTCACAAGGAAGTGTGTTTTGTTTTACTTTTTCCTGGCAGGTAAAAAATATGAAGAATAAAGACGAACGTTTAAAGACCATGAATGAAATTCTCAGTGGGATCAAGGTGAGAAGCCGAGCGCTGGGGGCACCAGCAGCAGCGGGTTCTTGCCCTTTGCAAGGCCTGGTGGGGCTTGTGGCTTACCCCTTCTGGGCCTCCCGACCCAGGACCCCCCACCTCTGCTCACAGGTCTCCTGCTTCTCCCAGCTGTCTCAGCCCCTCGTTGGAACCTTGATTTCTCTTTATTTACCCTAAATTGTTGGCTTTTTACATTTTACTTTTGAAATTGTCAAACGTGCACACAAGCAGAGTGAATGGTGTGAAGACCCCCGTGGGCTTCTCACCTAGGTCTAGCAATTACCAGCATGATCTAACTAGTTTCATCTAGGTACCCACTTCATGTTCTGCTAGGTTTTTTTTTTTTTTTTAAGTTTATTCATTTTGAGAGAGAGAGAGCAGGGAAGGGGCAGAGAGCGGGAGAGAGAGAATCCTAAGCAGGCTCTGCATTGTCAGCAAGGAGCCTGGTGTGGGGTTCGAACTCATGAACTACAAGATCATGGCCTGAGTCAAAATCAAGAGTTGGACCCTTAACCGACTGAGCCACCCAGGTGCCCCTCTGCTAGATTATTTTTTTTTTTTAAAGATTTTATTTTATTTTTCTAAAATCTCTTTTTTTTTTTATTTATTTCTAGGAGAGAGAGAGACAGAGAGACAGAGTGAGCAGGGGAGGGTCAGAGAGAGAGGGAGTCACAGACTGAAACAGGCTCCAGGCTCTGAGCTGGCAGTCAGCACAGAGCCCGACGCGGGGCTCGAACCCACGAACCGCGAGATCATGACCTAAGCGAAAGTCGGACGCTTAACCGACTAAGCCACCCAGGCGCCCCTGCTAGATTATTTTTAAAGCAAATCCCAGATATGGTACCTTGTATTTCATATAAATACTTCGTGTTTCTAAAAGACTTTTTAAAAAACATAACCACGATACATTATCCTACCAAAAAAAAAAATTGTCATTTTTTGGTACCCCAGTTGCCCCAGATGTCATTTGTTTGCTGTTAATTAGCTGGAATAAGGATCCAAAATATGTCCACACATGGCATGTAGTTGCTTTTAATCTACAATTGACTCTTTCCCTTTGTTTTGTGTGTGTGTGTGTGTGTGTGTGTGTGTGTGTGTTTTAATCTTGCTTTGTCATATTGGAGGAATCGGGTTGTCCTATTTCCTATATTTCTTATAAATTAGTGATCAAATCTAGAGGCTTGATTAGATAGGGCTTTTTTTTTTTGGTTTGATTTTTGGTGAAGGGAGGACAGATTACTTTCAGGCAGTATCACGTACTTCCAAACACCAGCAATGGTGAGTGCGAGTGCTGGGGGTCCAGGTGATTCACACCTTATTAGGTTTCCTGCCACTCTTTCCCCTAGAGCAGTGATTTGTGGCCCTGGGAGCACATTTTGACCCCTAGGAAGTTTGTAAAACCCATTGAGGCTTGGGGCCTAATTCAAACCATTAAAATTAATTTTGTTTCCAATTTCCTTTATTTTCTTTGAGGTTTTCTACTCTTTTATGGTTTTTTTTTTTTTTTTTTTTTTAATTTCTGAGGGTGGGGAGGAGAGACAGACAGACAGACAATGTAAGCAAGGGGAGGGGCAGAGAGAAAGGGAGACACAGAATCCGAAGCAAGCTCCAGGCTCTGAGCTAGCTGTCAGCACAGAGCCTGACGCAGAGCTTGAACCCACGTCAGACTATGACCTGAGCCAAAGCTGGACGCTTAACCGACTGAGCCACCCAGGCGCCCCATAGATTTAAAAATCTCTCCAAGTGATTCTAATATGCAGCCAAGTTTGAAAACTGTCCTAAAAATCCCTGCAGCCATTGATGGTCATTGCCTTGATCTATTATATCTTTAGGAGTTGCAAATAAGGGAAATTTGAATTCTGTTATTCCTTTAGCATTGATTAGCCAGAATTCTATAATGAAGACTTATCTTTATTTTTTTATTTTTTTATTTTATTTATTTCTAGGAGAGAGAGAGAGAGAGAGAGAGAGATACAGCGTGAGCAGGGGAGGGTCAGAGAGAGAGGGAGTCACAGACTCTGAAACAGGCTCCAGGCTCTGAGCTGGCAGTCAGCACAGAGCCTGACGCGGGGCTCGAACCCATGAACCGCGAGATCATGACCTAAGCGAAAGTCGGACGCTTAACTGACTAAGCCACCCAGGCGCCCCAATGAAGACTTATCTTTAATCAGCTAGTTGGTTACCCTAAAATAAAGTTTGTGCAGGACAGGCAGGATAAATGCTTGGTTTTTTTCCCCCTCTGTTGGCCAGCTTTCAGACTAATGCATTTCCTCCTGCAAAGTTTACCAGCAAGTTATGTTTTAATAGATGTATTGTTTTGAATTCAAGGATTTAAACATTACCCTAAACTTTTTGAAAATGAAACCGAGGCCTCTTTTAACTCTCTGATATTTCTCTACACAGAGTTCTGATATGCCTTTTTGGTAAATGTGGCAAAAGGAAAAGGTAGCCCTGGCTTGGTAACTTTGGGCAAGCTACCTAGTATCTTCAGCCTGTGTCCTTTTCACGAAGATTGATACAATAATTCTACAAGAGTAGGGAACTCTCGTTGGTTTTCTCAGAACTTTCTGGGTTTAGCATTGAAAGCCCCATGTCCTGGGCAACCTCTTAGTCCCAGGAAAACTGCGACCATTGATCACCCTAAGGTTGTTATAAGGATTAAGTAAGATCATGCGTTTAAAACGTTCTGTATGTAGTAGGTTCCCAACAAATGCAACCTACCTTTCTATAATCACACTTTGTAACCTGGAATTCTACCTCCCACTCCTCTGTTTTGAAGAACCTGTCCTAAAAACGGGATGGATGAGACCTATCTGGTGTCCTGCAGGGGCAACAGTGTGAGCTGTGATATTTTCTGTCCTATTAGATCCTGAAGTATTTTGCCTGGGAACCTTCATTCAAAAAGCAAGTCCATGAACTTCGGAAGAAAGAGCTCAAGAACCTGCTGACCTTGGGGCAGATGCAGTCTTTAATGATGTTTCTCTTATACTTAACTCCAGTCCTGGTGAGTGACAGGAGTCAATGGACTGGGTCAGCTTCCTGAAGAGGAAGGTCTATTCTCAGTAGACTGCCCAGTGCCTGTAGGCCTAACCCTGAAATCCTGGGAACTCTATTCCCCTCCTCAACTTCCCAAAGCTGCCATTTCTCCCTGATGCCCCCGACGCTAATTTCACCCTTGTGTACAATTTGTTCACTTGGCAGCCCAGAACAGGTTTCCAGGATAGTCAGCATGAATGTGGTATCCAGGAATGGTTTGCATAAGAGAGCTTCTTGTCTTCTTGAGGAGGCTGTGTGGGTCTAGAGCGCGATCGAACACCAATATAGGAGCCAGGAGACCCAAACTATGGTCCCAGCAATACGATTAATTGATTGTGACCTTGGACAAGGTATTTCCTGTGTAACACAGAAGGTTGAGATAATAATCCCTAAGTCTCCTTCAACTCTGATATATTGTGCTCCTGAAACTTAGGATAAGTGCTTGAACCCTTTTATAAATGAATTGCTCATGACCTTGCTTTTCCAGGTGTCTGTGATCACATTTTCAGTTTACACTCTGGTGAATAGCAATAATATTTTGGATGCGGAAAAGGCCTTCACCTCCATCACCCTCTTCAATATCCTGCGCTTCCCCCTGGGCATGCTTCCCATGGTAATCAGCTCCATGCTCCAGGTGGGTAGAAGGCCTCACTGCTGACTGATTATCTCTGGTTAAAAGGCTTACATCCCCAAATGACTGGCCTATCATATCTTACTCTAGCTTCTGCTGGTGAACTTTCAATCTGAGATTTGTTTGGTCTCTAGAGACCAAGTTTGATCTTAAGCTCTCTGGGCCTTAGTTTATGCAACTCTAAAATGAGGATAAGCATACCAATCTTCTCTACCTCACGGGGAGACCATGCTTGTGAAAGCATTTAGTGAGATTATGATGATTAGTCGATACATGGACTGTTTCTAAGCCCTTTCCCAACCCAGTGTCCCCACTTTTTCCCAAGGCGCTTGGGGTATTTATATAGCATTAGGGAAATAAGCACACATGGAAAGAGAAGACCCTTTCTGCACGAAGCCATGCGGTGGTGGAACTGAATACAGTTCTTGAGTTTCAAGCTGTCAGAAAATGAATTTGGAGTTCAAGAGGACTTGGATAAGCCAGAGAGAGTGTCTGGATCCTGAAAAGTGAGCAGTCACTGAGCTGGACCAGGTACAGACCTCAGGAGGATGTTCACAGGGCAAGTGACAGGCTAGTGAGGTGGCCAGAAAGATGGGAGTGTGGTAATGTGCATTTACCCTAGGGGTGGCATGCTTTAGACGGCTCAGGCCTTGGGAATGATGAGTTTCAGACCTCTCTACCCTGGAGGGGGTTAAGAAAGGCTGACAGATTTGGCTGATAAAGAAACCGTATGCTCTTTTTGGATTCAGATAGCTTAGTACATAGATTGCAAAAGCAAGATCAGCAAAGGTGTCTACTCCCTGACTTCCCTATCTCTCGGGGCGATCGTCAAACAAAAGGGGTCCGATGATAATATAACACGGGCAGTGAGGCACTCTGTCTCTGAGGGGCGGATTCATTAGACAGCTGAGCCATTTTGTAGCCTGCAACTGCACTCAAAGGAAGGGCAAAGCAGAAAGTCCACGCTCTCATCAGAACCCAGGTGGTAATGAGAAACAATCTCCCTAACAGGCTCCCTGGAAATAGGCAAGTGAGAAAGTTCCTTGTAAAAGCTCCGAGGAATCCTCCCAAGTCCTCCTGTTTCAGGAGATTACAGGGTGTTCTGCCAATGCTTACTTAGGTCAGCTGCAGTTTAAACTTGGCCTATGTGGAGTTATCTAAGGTCACTCTGGTGCCATGGCCAATTCCTCTATAAAGGGTCCCGGTATTGGCTCTGTTAGGACACTGGGTGGGCCCAAGGCATGGACTCCGTTAAAGACGAGCACATCAGGGGCCCAGTTACCAAAAGCAGATAGAAGTTAGGATTTTGTCTCATAAGAAGGCAGGAGACCATTTTTGGAACTGTGTGCAAAGATTGGAGAGATGGCAACAGAGTTGACCCCAGCCCCCCAGGTTTTCTAAGGGGCTGAAACATCATCTTAATTTCCCTCTGTCCAGAGAGAGATGTCTCAAGGCTGACATGCGGCGGAGTCTCTGGGGGTATCCAGAGGCTTCAGCTGTAGCAGACGGTAAGGCATCAGCAAGAAGCCTGGAAGGTTGCTCTGCTTCCACGTCCAGGGCTGATGACAAAGTCAAAATCCTCTCCCTGCTTATGCTTGTCATTGGATTTTTTTATTCTTGAGATCCTTTGTGTCCCTCTCTAGGCCAGCGTTTCCACAGAACGCCTAGAAAAGTACTTGGGAGGGGATGACTTGGACACATCTGCCATTCGACGTGACCACAATTTTGGTAATGAGTTTGGAAGTTGCTTCCCCAACTGATTCACAGTACTGGCACCAGAACTCTGATATGGGGGGCTCTGTGGCGGCAAACTGAGAGGGAGAGCCAGAGGATTTCTCTTGAACCTACAGTTGCATAACCAGCTTACTATTTTTACTTAAATTAAGTTTTCATTTTGAATAGTTTGCTTAGACAGATGGCTAAGTCATATTCTAAGGGTAAGAGAATCCTGCAAAAGCTCTAGAAAACAGAAGTCAGGATGGGGCCAAGCATGGGGACTTGGGGAAGGTAGGCTGGAGTGAAAGAACATTTGCAGGTTCTGAAGATCTAAGGATTGGGGGACAGCCACAGCCAGAGGCGGCTATAGTTCTGGAATCCAGGGAGTGGCCAGGTTTATATATAGAGGTAGAATTTTTACCAGGACATGAGGCAACAGAGGACATGAGAATGTGTCCAGGAGTGTCTGCAAGTCAGGAATCTGGCTAATAGGCTTGGGAATCCAACCAAAATGGCCTTTGTTTGCAGGCCACTTTTGTTCTCCCCTGGGGAACTTTCCTTTGTCTCTTGTTAATGTAGGAGCCAGCACCTGACAGGTGATCTCCAGATCTGCTGACAGAGGGACACAGGAGGGCTGAGAAGGGGCAGACAGACATGAGGACCTACACCTGACTAAAATAGAGGGCCTTTTTCTTAACAGACAAAGCTGTGCAGTTTTCAGAGGCCTCCTTTACCTGGGATCGGGAGATGGAAGCCACAATTCGAGAGTGAGTTGCCTCCTTTCCAGCCTGCTGTTCTTTAGGCTTCTCCTTGCCAGTCCCGTTACTGGAAAATTCTGTGCACTAGGGCACATGAGATATGGATGGTGTGCACATATTCAGTTAGATTGCGGTGCAGAGTTAGAAACTCTGGGGAGATGAGCGGACTGCAAAACTCCCGAGCCTCTTTCCCCAGAAGTGCACCTGCCACCTGGCTCTCTTACTTTGCGACTATGCGATCCAGCTAAGAACCCAGCAAGACCTTTGTTCTCAGGTTGTGGATGGAGGTAGTGCAGCAGTGGCAAGTAGCTTAGGTCTTTGGGTGTGATGAAGGATACACACAAGAGCCTGAAACCAATTTAAGTTCATTTGTTCATTTAAGAATAGTAATCAAGGGATGCCTGCGTGGCTTGGTTGGGTGTCTGACTTCAGCTCAGGTCATGATTTCACAGCTCATGGTCTCGAGCCCTGCGTCGGGCTTTGTGTTCACAGGTTGGAGCCTGGAGCCTGCTTTGGATTCTGTGTCTCCCTTCCTCTGCCCCTCCCTCCCCATACGCATGTGCTTGTGCTCTCGCTCTTGCGCGCTCTCTCTCTCTCTCTCAAAAATAAACATTAAAATAAAAAAAGTAATCAAGGATATGGCTTCTTTCTCCAAAGTGGACAATGGGAGCTCCCTCTATGAAGATTAAACTTGAGATCTGGAGTTTTACATCTAAATAACCCATTCTTACCTCCCACCTCTTCTGCCCTAAGCCAACTCTTTCTTGCCATGCTGCTGCTTGTCTAGTAGTTCCTCTTCTGCAGTCTTGCTTTCTGTGGTTTCGGTTACCTGAAGTCAACCTCTGTGTGGAAGCAGATGATCCTCCTCCTGACGAATGGTCACATCAGTAGTAGCCTAACGTAGGTCAGTGCTTCCATCCCTCACCTCCTTTCATCTCTCCATGTAGGCATTGTCTCATCTTGCATCATCAGAAGGGTGAGTACAGTACAGTAAGAGAGCGAGCTCAGTACGATCAATGAGAGTTAAGACCCCAGTCACCTACCTTGCATTACAGTTTATTGTTATAATTGTTCTATTTGACTAGTTATTGTTAACCTCCTAATTTATAAATTGAACTTTATCACAGGTATGTTTGGATAGGAGAAAACAGTCTCAGGAAGTCTGAGCAGGTCAGATCTTTCTTCACAACCCAGCACACCTTATCTTCTCCATGTTGCACCTGGGATTTCCCACACTTCTATTCCTACAGCCTTTCATATGGATTCTGGAGCTTGCCTCCAGGATGCATCAGGCCAGAAGCCTCTCCTCTGGACCTTCCCGACCTGAAAGCCTCCCTTTGCAGAGAAAAGGCTGGACACTGCTCCCATTTTGAGCTGAACTTCTTTTAGACTTACACTGGCAAAGGGCAGTTTCAGAAAGACTGTAAACAAGTTCCTGATGTTCCTAATATTCTAGGGACTCAAATACAGGGTGGGCACAGAGTTTGTAGGAGCCCCACTCAGTGTGTGTCCTAGTCAGATACGGCCAACTCTCCAGGGGGACGGGAAGGTGTTCTGTGCTTCCAGCAAGTGTTTCATTGAATGGCTATTCTTATTGAATAGCCCAGTTTGGGAAACACTGATATCTTCCAGCCCTATTAGTTCATAAATGAGAGTCCAGAGGGACTTTCCAAGATCATAGAGCTCAGCAGTGGCAAAGCTGAGACTTGAACTCAGGTCTCTAAGCTCCCATTAAGTTCTTGTTCAATGGTATCATGTTGGTGCTAAGAGAATTTTTCCAGTTGAAACCTACATTTTGCAGAAACAGTTTATGGATAGTTGGATAAGTTAGAGTTAAAAAAAAATTATTAAAGAAGCACTTCAGTCTTATATATCCAAGACAAATTTTCCAATCCTGAGGGAAAATCTAATACCAGACTTCCCATGGATAGTCTGAGAAATGGCCTGAACTACTCTTGAATAATACCCCTTACCTCCTTCAAATACACTTCTCTTGAGGCACCTGGGTAGCTCAGTCGGTTAAGTGACTGACTCTTGATTTCAGCTTAGGTCATGATCACACAGTTCATGAGACTGAGCCCCACATCAGGCTTGGTGCTGACAATGCAGAGGCTGCTTGGGATTCTCTCTTACTCTCTTTCTGCCTCTTCCCCTTGCTCGCTCACTCACTTTCTCTTAAAATAAACAAAACACTTAAAACAAAAACCAAATACGCTTTTCTCTTTTCAGTGTGAATCTGGACATTATGCCAGGCCAGTTGGTGGCTGTGGTGGGCACTGTGGGTTCTGGGAAGTCTTCCTTGATGTCAGCCATGCTGGGAGAAATGGAAAATGTCCATGGGCACATCACCATCAAGGTGAGAGGGGAAGCCAAGGAGCAGAGTTCTGACATTCAAATGTGGGCCCCTAAGTGCTGCTTTCTCGTTTTGGAGAATGCACTGAGGACTAGAATCTGATGACCACTATTGTTGTTTTGCTGAAGTTATGGTCTTAGAGACATTAGGTAGACTTATTGTAAGGTGTAGATTCTTTGCCCCATCCCACACATATAATCAGACTCTGGGGGTAGATTCTAAAAATCTGCGTGTTTAATGAGGTCCCCAGGTGATTCTCTTATGAGTACTCAAGTTTGAAAACTGTTTAACAGAGATCTATTCCTTCAAAGTATAGGCAATTCTGCTACATCTAGGTTTCTAAAAGCATCATTAAAAACTTACATAACTGGGGCAGCTGGGTGGCTCAGTTGGTTAAGTGTCCAATGCTTGATTTCAGCTCAAGTCATGATGTCACAGTTTGTGGGTTCGAGCCCTGCGTTGGGCTCTCTGTGACAGAGCCTGCTTGGGGTTCTCTCTCGCCCTCTCTCTACCCCTTCCCACGTGTATGTGCTTATGCGTTTCCTCTCTCTCTCTCTCTCTCTCTGTCTCAAAAATAAAAATTTAAACAAAGTACATAACTTTGTCACTAGCATAAACAAAACCACCAAACAAAACCAACTTTGGTGCTTTGTCACTAGCACCAATAAAACCAATAACAATAATAACAATTAAAGCAGCAGCACTGTAAAATCTCCACTGGCAATTACATGAGCTTCACAGTGAGCTTTAGCCCAACTTCCTCTTCTTCCTCTGAAAGCTTGGTCTTTGAAAGCACTTGCTCAAAAATTTGTTACAGAGTGTGGACATTTTTGTCAATTACATATTTTTTAACCAAGTAGAAATCTTTTCATAGTATCTCCATGAGGACTCTCAGCTTCCCCAGAGAGTTAAATTTAGAGGAAATTCTAGGTACTTGGAATCACTTAACCAGCCACTACTCATACCAAAAAGAGTGTGTTTGTAGATCTTTTAGCTTTTTTTCCTTAAGATCCTCCTATATTGCTAACCATTTATTTTTAATTATGAGAAAGCTTGCCCTTGACTGCTGGACACTGACATGCTTAGAAAATTATAAACTAATGCTTCTTACATATTATACTGACCTTATTCCCTGATTTACTAATCCCTTATGAGCTAATTTACATTAAATAATATGTAACAGCAGACTCTACTGATTTAACTGTTTCCTAACTTCTCTTTTTTTCATTTGGAACATTATTTCGTCCTTTAGAAGTCAATTTTGAATTAAAAAAATTTATTGATGTTTATTTTTGAGAGAGACAGAAACAGAGCGCTAGAGGGGGAGAGGCAGAGAAAGAGAGGGAGACAGAATCTGAAGCAGGCTCCGGGTTCTGAGCTGTCAGCACAGAGCCGATACTGGGCTTAAACTCACTAACTATAATTCATGACCTGGGCCGAAGTTGGACACTTACCCGATTGAGCCACCCAGGCGCCCATAGAAGTCAATTCTGAATTGGCATGTCACTTTGCCCCAGTAGACATCATGGAAACTGGGATAGGCAGGCTAAAAGAAGATTATTTTAAAATTACTTCTAAACATAATTCTCTTTTATAGAAGTGTGTATGTGTGTTTATGTACATATGTGTTTTATATATATACATTTCTCCTTTAAACTGACACAAAACTGCTGTCTTCTTTTTTTTTTTTTTTTTTTTTTTAAATGTTTAATCTATTTCTAGGAGAGAGAGAGAGACAGCGTGAGCAGGGGAGGGTCAGAGAGAGAGGGAGTCACAGACTGAAACAGGCTCCAGGCTCTGAGCTGGCAGTCAGCACAGAGCCCGACGCGGGGCCCGAACCCACGAACCGCGAGATCATGACCTAAGCGAAAGTCGGACGCTTAACCGACTAAGCCACCCAGGCGCCCCAAAACTGCTGTCTTCTAAATTGTTTTGGAAAAATGGCATTTTCATTTCAAATGACTTTAACACTTAAAGAGGTCACATCGGAAATTTGTGGTAATGATTTAACGTTAATATTTAAATTGGTTCTAGCCTCAGATCAAGTTTGACTTCTGTTTAACTTTTTAAATGATAAACTTATTATCATACTTCTTTTTTTGTTATCACAAATTACTATTTTTTTAATATAATTTTTTGAAAAAAACCTTGAGTCTAGTTGACAATGTTACATTAGTTTCAAGTGTATTAGGAAGCTTTTTCTTGCTAACCTTTTCTTGCTAATGAGTTCATTCTCAATGAATCGCTGAGTTCATTCTCAAACACAGGCCTTTGTCAGGCTTCCTCTCTGGACATGATCTGCTTCACGCCTCAGCCTGGCGCCTTCCTTCAGATCTCTTGGTTCTTCCTAAAATCTCTGTACCATCGTGCCTGTGTTAGTCCTCTGGTGATCTCGGGGAAACTCGCTCGGGTCGACTCAAACCCTGTTCTAGAAGCAGCATGTGTATTCTTCCTCAAATTGTCAGGATCATGGCTAGAAAGTGATAGTGAAAAAGAGAGTGGGGAGAGGTATTAAGTGGTGAACAGGCTGGTACAATAAATACAAGCACATTTATACGTATCAGATGCTCCGTCAACCTGACATTCATTTTTTCAAATCTAAGTTCTGTTTTTTCCTCCCCATCCTGCCACTCGCTCCTTCAGCTCTGCCTTTCTGGAGGCATAACTGTCATGTGTTCTGGTCCTTCCCATCAGGGCACGATAGCCTATGTCCCACAGCAATCTTGGATCCAGAATGGCACCATAAAGGACAACATCCTTTTTGGATCCGAGCTGGATGAAAAGAGATACCAACAGGTTCTTGAGGCCTGTGCCCTCCTCCCAGACCTGAAAGTGCTGCCTGGAGGAGACCTGGTTGAGATTGGAGAGAAGGTATTTGGGACACCAAGGGACCTTGAAGGGTGAAAAAATACTGAATTTAAAAAAAGCAAGGATGGTGAAGACATACATGGGAGCAAAAGAGCTGACTAATTTTGGTAATCAGCTTGGAAAAAATACCAGAAAACATGGGGGACACCTGGGTGGCTCAGTCAGATAAGCATCCAACTTCAGCTCAAGTCATTTCATGGTTTACGAGTTCAAGCCTGGTGTTGGGCTCTGAGCTGACAGCTCAGAGCCTGGTGCCCATTTGAGATACTATGGATCCCTCTGTTTCTGTCCTCCCCCGCTCATGCTCTGTATCTCTTTTTCTCTCAGAAATAAATAAAAAATAAATGTGTTTTTAAAGAACACTGATGAGGCTAGGACCAGAGAGGTTAACTAACCAGCTCCTGGCCCAAGGATCACCTCGCAAGTGGAGGAGCAGAGGCAGGAACAGAGCTTAGGTGCCCTGACTTGACTTCTGGATGTTAGTGAGGCCTGGAGAAAGGCTCTAATACTCTGCTTCAAACACTTAGAAATTTAGTGTGATTTTTCTCAGGTTATTAAATACCTTTCTTAAAAATATATTGTTAACGACTGTATTGTGTCTATTATATGCTTAGAGCATAATTGGTTTAGAAATTCCTGGTGGCTACATATTTAGGATGTTTTCAACCTTCTTCCCTATTACTAACAATGAACAGAGCAGTCTTTGAGGGACAAGAATCTTCAGCTACTAGAAGATTAATGAAGATACAGCTCTAGAATGATTTTGTTCACTATTTCAAATACATTTATTAACTACTCTGTACCACACACTGTTTTAAGTGTTGGAGTTATATCCATGAATAAAATAGGGAAAATCTGCCCTGGTCCAGCTCCACATTCCCATTGGGCAGGAAACAAAAATACTAAGTAAATATTCTCATAGAAAATGGTAATTTGGGCATCCATTTAATTATTGGGCCTGAAGTAGTTTATTTGAATCAAAAGTTATTTATTTGTATAAAGGAACTTAGAAGGTTTTAAAGCCCTTGATACCTTATTGAAGTAAATCTCTTCCTTTCCCCTCCTTAATAGTCTGTGAAGGTGGGACTATGGAGTAGTGCTTAATAAAAAGTATTTTCTTCTTCAGGGTATAAATCTCAGTGGGGGTCAGAAGCAGCGGATTAGCCTGGCCAGAGCTACCTATCAAAATTCAGACATCTATGTTCTGGATGACCCCCTCTCAGCCGTGGATGCTCATGTGGGGAAACATATTTTCAATAAGGTCTTGGGTCCCAATGGCCTATTGAAAGACAAGGTGAGAAATTACTTAAAGCAATGAAGACACTGGGGGACCCATCTCCTAGGACTGCTGCTGTCCTGAAGCATAACTTATTTATGCCCCACCCCCACATCCCAGAGGACCCAACAACTCGCCTTGGCTGGTGGGACATAGGTCATCATGCAGGTTTTAGAGCTCTGCTCTGAGAAGGCGCTTTCCTGGAACCCTTGCAGGATGTGGGAATGTGGGGATAAAATAGAGTTAACATTTCTTGTGTATTCATGATGCCCCAGGCCTGTGCTAAGCACTTTGATTGCGCCGCCTCATTCCATTTTCACAATGCCCCCATGAGAAAGTGGCCAGAACAAGTCATGAGAGCTGGTAGTAAGTGAAGGCTAGGTTTTCCTTACCATGGGCGAGTTAGCCCATTTGCCTTGACACAGTGGGCTGAATAGGGGAGGGGCTAACAGAGGCCCTTGTGGGTTTGAATGTGCTGCTCACCAACAGCAAGTGTAGAATGAGGGCTCTCCCTCAGCGTTGGGCAGTAAAACTCCCATCTGTGTGTGGCCTGTTCCCTTCAAGACTTTTCGATTACTGCCAGTCAGAGGGTAGGTGGGCTGCCATCCCACTGAGGCCCCTTGCCTCTCTTGTATCAGTAAGTCAACAGGAACTCACTCTCCCTTCTATTTCTTGTTCTGGCTCCTGTCCATAAGTCCTCTTGGCTCCATTCATTCATGAACTATATACCACCCTGTGCCTGGTTTGTTGCAAAGATTGGGCATGCACAGATGAAAGGTCTGGTCCTTGCTCTCAAGTTCAGTTGGTTAGCTGGTTAGTGAAAGGGGAAATTAGTTAGCTATTTCTTAAGATTAATATGCATTAATTATATTGATAGGTTTTGATCTCAAGTAACATTCCTAAGCTCTCAGGAAGCTGGAAGAATATGTGCGGGGCAAACCTTGCTGTCAGTACAGGAAAATAACCATAAATCCATGAGGACCAGAGCCGCCTCTTACACACAGGGTCTGGTGTTGGGATGAGCCACTGGGAAGGAAAGAAAAAAGTAAAAGAGTTCAAGTGTTCAGAGCTACATTTTGAAACAGAGCCCTACAGTGAATTTAAATGACTGTTTTTTCCTTTTTATTTATTTATTTATCCTCCCCCACTTAGAGAGACAAGGAGAATGTTTCCTACTGGGGAAAGGGATAGGCTTTAGAGTTACCCAGACCTGAATAAGAATTCTGGCTCTCACACTTATTNCCCCCCCCCCCCCCAAACCTAGTGCAAGCCAAGGAAGGTAATAGACATTCTGGGTAGTTGGAGGTTAGCTACTCATAGTTAGTGGGAAGAAGTTAGTTCCTTGCCTTTTTAAGAGCAAGCCAAGGATGGTGGTGGACAGAGGGTCTCACAGAAGGAAGGTCTCACAGAAGCCACAACTTACTGTTGTGTTTTTCAGACTCGACTCTTGATTACACACAGCATTCACTTTCTTCCCCAAGTGCATGAGATTGTGGTTCTGGGGAACGGCACCATCCTGGAGAAGGGACCCTACAGCACTCTGCTGGCCAATAAAGGAGTGTTTGCTAAGATTCTGAAGACATTCACAAAACGGACGGGTCCTGAAGGAGAGGCCACAGGTATGTAAGGAGGACTGGGACAGGATAAAGCTTGGGTATGGGAAGGATAGATGTGACAAATTGATACTGACTGCCTGAATGATCCAGTATCCAGTGAGTTAGATTTGGAAGTGAATTATCCAGAGATCCAAAATCTGTTCTTCCTGTATTTTATGTCTCTGTCAAGAAACATAGACACTCTGTGCCTGAGCCAACCTGGGGGCTCATCCTGCCCATCTTGTCTCTGACATGCAATTGAAGAGCAGGGCATGCTTTAGAAGGGTATGACTGAAGATATGGGGTGATTGGTCTTTGTGGAAGAAATATTAATAAGGCATCCTCTTTTAGGGATGCTGTACTTCTGTTGACTCAAATCACACATCCCACCCCACCTACCCTGAGTCCATGAAAACCACTTCCAGGACAGCTTCATAGGCTGGTACTAACAGTGTACTGAAACATTCTTGATGAGCCTTAACAAAAGCATCTTGACTAAATATTACAAAAAACCACTGGGTGTTTTGAGCCAGGAAAAATCCTGGCAGTTGCATGGTCTCACAGTACACCACAGGAATAGCCCCTAATACCACCACTATTGGGGTCATCAGTTAGCTCTAGTCAGCAATGGGGCCCTGATCCCTGCGGACCTTCCCAAGAATCTGCCAGTAGTAGTCCTGCATATAGTTCTGGGTATCTGCTTTGGGAAGCAGTCACTAGCAGGAGGCCAAGCCTTAGAAAGCAAGATCTAAAGGGTTCATTCCACAAGTCAGTCAGGAGAAGGGGGTAGCTACAGAGCCTGCAAGTGAGAACTCATTCAGGCCTTGAGGTCAGGATATGTGATGGTTCAAAACCACCCTGAGGAGCACAAGAGATGGAAAGAAAAGCCTTAACCAGAGAGTCTAAGTGTTGGAGGGATAGGGCAGGATAGGGTAGGAGTGTTAAACTGTTAAGTGTTGGAGGGATAGGGCAAGAGCAAAGAACAGGATGAAGGATGACAGGGATTGGGAACCATCCCAGGAGACTGGGGCAGGGGCACTGGGAACCAGCAGAAAGGAAGTCGGAACTTTTCATTAGCCTTTATGTGCTCCAGGGACTGGCCTGGAGAAAGCAAAAAGCACCTGCCTGGGCAGTGAAGGTCCCAAGCCAAAAGCAGTGTCTGATGCTTGATTCCCTTAAGTGACTGCGCAACCACGTCAACATGATATGCCTGGGTAGTTTTCTTCTGCTAAGTCTAGACTTTTTTTTTTTTTTTTTTTTTTTCACAATCTGAGTTTCCAGATAGCTTTTTTTATGATGTGACTGTTCTTTCTAGCAGGCTGTTTGTAAAGAGCCAGCCTCACCTCTCTCCAATCAAGAAAGAAGAGTTTAATTTCTGAGCAATGCCTGGCATGCTGTTGTTGTTGGCTCTGGGACTCAAAGTGTAGACCATGACATGGTAGAATGAAGGGAATGGCAAGAGGGCANAACCACGTCAACATGATATGCCTGGGTAGTTTTCTTCTGCTAAGTCTAGATTTTTTTTTTTTTTTTTTTTTTGCCACAATCTGAGTTTCCAGATAGCTCCTTTGAAGAATCCTATCCTCTACATAAAGTCCAGTTTGTAAAACAGCTCCTGAAGCCTTTGCCAATCAAGGTAAACACCGACTATTTCTGAGCAATGCCTGGCATGCTGTTGTTGTTGGCTCTGGGACTCAAAGTGTAGACCATGACATGGTAGAATGAAGGGAATGGCAAGAGGGCAAGGTGACCTGTATCACCATTGGCTTGGCATATTCTTTTCTTTTTTATTATTATTTTTTAATGTAATTTATTATCTATTTTCTTTTTTTTAATGTCTTATTTATTTTTGAGAGAGAGAAACACAGTGCAAGCAGGGGAGGGGCAGAGAAAGAGGGAGACACAGAATCTGAAGCAGGCTGAGCTGTCAGCACAGAGCCTGACATGGGGCTCAAACCCACAAACAGTGAGATCATGACCTGAGCTGAAGTCGGACGCTTAGCCAACCCAGACACCCCCCACCCTTTTTAAATTGTATATTATTTTCTTAATTAGCTGCCATAATAAAGCACTACAAACTGGCTCAATCAACAGACATTTATTGTCTTATGGTTCTGGAGGTTAGAAGTCCAAAATTAATCTGTAGGATTGCTTCCTCCTGAAGGTGACAGGGAAGGACATGTTCCAGGACTCTCTCCTATCTTCTGGGGGTTTGTTGGCAATCTATGGCATTTTTGGCTTGTAGACACATCACATCGATCTCTGCCTTCATCCTCATGTGGTATTCACCCTTGTGTGCATCAATTCCAAGTTTCCCTTTTTATAAAAACATCAGACATAATGGATTAGGGGCTCATCCCACTCCAGTCTGACCTCCTCTTAACTAATTGCATCCACAATGATCCTATTTCCAAATAAAGTCACATTGTGAGATAGTAGAGGTTAAGATTTCAACATACGGATTTGGTAGGGGACACAAGGCAATCTATCACGTCCATTCTCTGGCATCCCCAAATTCACATCTTTCTCGTGTCCAGAATACATTCAAGCCATCCCAGCAGCTCCAATGTCTTAATCATTCTAGTATCTCCTCTAAGTCCAAAATCTCCTCCAAATGTCAATTTGAAGTCCCAGATTTTATCCCCTAACTCATTCAAATCAGTTGTGGGTGAGTCCTGGAGTCTTGGGGTAAAATTCCTCTCCATCTGTCAAGCTATAAAACCAGACAGATTATCTGCTTCAATGGTAATACCATCATTAGGACAGGTCTTGCTATTCCAAAAGGGAAAGATCAGAAGGAAAAAAGAGGTCATGAATCCCAAGCAAATCCCAAATCTAGCAGGGCCAATTCCACCAGATTTTAAGGTTTGATAATAATCTTGTTTGGCCTGATGCTATCTGTTCTTTAGGCTTGGAACCTGGGCTGATGGTTCTGCCCTCTGGAACTGAGGAGTAGTCAATCCCAGTGTCATTTTTCCCTTTTCTGGAAGGATAACACATGTTCACGGCTGGATAGCTCTATTAGTATGTTTTCTGCCTATAGAATCCCAGAAGTGTGACGGTGTTCCTTCATTTAGTCCTGTCTCTGTCCCCTACAGTCCAAACTGGTAGCATTTGTGCTTAAGATGGTTGACTGGATTAAGTCACATGCTTTAATTTCTTTAGTAAATCTGCTATTGAGTCTTTCTAGTGAATTTTTCATTTTAGTTCCTGTACTTTTCTAGAATTTCTATTTTCTTGTCTTAATTTGATCTCTTTATTGATGTTCTCTATTTGATAAGAACTCATTCTCATACTTTAGATCTTTAGACATGGTTTCCTTTTGTTCTTTGAACATATTTATACTAGTTGATTTAAGTCTTTCTCTGGTAAGCCCGATGTCTGTGCTTCCCTAGGTACAGTTTCTGTTGACTGCTTCCCCCCCATGTACGGTCCCATGCTTTCTTCCTTTGCATGTCTCACAGTTTTTTGTTGAAAACTGGTCACTCTAAATAGTACATCTCTGGAAATAAGATTTTTTTCCTCTGCTAGGTTTTGTTGTTCCTCCTGTTTAATTTCCTTAACTATTTCTTGCTAAATCTGCATTCTTTGTCCTATGTGGCCACTGAAGTCTCTGCTTGGTTGGTCAGCTAATGATTAGAGATTTCTTTAAGGGCCTGGAACCAATAAGTCACTTAGCCTTTTCTGAGAAGCTTTGTGTGTGAGAAGAGTGGTGGGAGGGGGCGTGTCCTTAACACTCCAGTAGGCAATTTACAATTCCGCTTCTCCTTTTGTTTCCTGCTTGCAGGGAGTAGCCAGAGCTAAGAGAGTAGGGCCTTCTCAAGTCTTTACTGAGCATGTGCACAGCCTTACCCATGTGTATGTCATTCTAGAGTGCCAGGAATATACTAAAAATCTCAAAGCTCCCTAAGGGGATCTTCTTCCCCAGGTTTTCCTTTTAAGTTTTTGTTTAACTTATTTGCCCCAGCTGTTATCACCCTCTCAGGTGGCTGTGATGTTACACAATTGTTGCTGATTGTTTACACCAGCTCCAAGTCGGGCCCAACAAAGGCAAACCCTGTGAATGGGGTTTTCTAGGGAACTGCCAGACAGGTCAAATAATGACAATTCTCTAGGGGTTGAACCCGACAACCAAAGGGTTAATGGGACTTAGCACAACTACAGCTTTTTCCCCAGGCCTTTTTCATTTGCCCTTGACTCTACTTTGGGGAGGCGGATGTGAAGCTTGCCCTCCTGTCTTTTTGGCAACCTCTCAAACCCTTTCCTTACTTTTATACTCAATGTCTCAGTGATTGTCTCTGCTGCACGTTAGGCAGACAGACTTGAGTTCAGTTACAGGATGAGGCTTTAGGAGAGTTTTGAACACTTTTCTGTTCCCATCAGCAGTGAAGGAGGTTACCATGTTGGTGAGGCTTTTGATATTCTAGGCTATGGCATAGCTGAGGAGAAGGGGGATGGGAATGGAGGTAAATTAAAACTATCACAAAGCTTATTGTTCTTACTGAGATTTAGACATTTTTCTTAAATAAATGTTCCTTGGACTGCGTCATGCCTTTGGTTAATTTCAGAATTTTGAAAAAGTTTAACAATATTTTGCCAGTATTCTCATTGCTTTATGGAGTTATCAATTTCCAGAAGTCTTTTTACCATTGCCACTGATGCCCAGGCTGTTATTCACTTTCTTTTTAATAAAAAAAAAAATTTTATTTGCAGCATATGTTTTTAAAATGTTTTAAATTAACAAAAGTTTGTAAAGTTATTTGAATTTCAGGAAGAGCATTTTTAATGTACGCTCCCCTCTCTAGTAAATTCTGGGAATTATGACTCTTCTGCTATCTACTATAACCTTAAAAATTCTTTCCTTGCTGCAAAAGAACTGAGAAGCTTCTGGGAATATTTTTCTCCTTTTGACCATTTTCTCTTCCACTAGAACATTAACTCATCTCTCCTTCCTTGTGGTCTCTTTCTGGAAGGACCAGCTAGATTAGAACTCTCCTTGTTCATAGAATTCGGACAGCTCTATGTCGCCATCTCCCTAACCTTTGATGTGTCTCCTAGTCAATGAGGACAGTGAAGAAGAAGATGACCATGGGCTGATGCCTAGTATGGAGGAAATCCCTGAGGAAGTGGCCTCCTTGACCATGAAAAGAGAGAATAGCCTTCATCGGACACTTAGTCGCAGGTTGGTCATCTATTCAGCTCTCAGCCTTCATCGCTTCCATACTTCCACCTGATCTTTCTCTTTTTCTTGGTGGGCTTTTCCTGAGGAGTAAACACCAGGAACACTCCCAGCTCTTCCTTTGTTTCTTTGTCTGGAGAGGAAGGGTGAGGTGGGGTGTTTCCCCACAGCCATCTGTTCTGAAATGCACTTTGATGTTAGCAGAGTGACTATGACCTCTGCTTGCAAGAAGACCCTCGGGATGTGGCTGCATCCTCAAGAATGCTCTCCTCCTCTTTCTCAGTTCTAGGTCCAGTAGCAGGCACCGGAAATCCCTAAAAAACTCTTTGAAAACTCAGAATGTGACTACCCTGAAGGAGGAAGAAGAACTAGTAAAAGGACAGAAACTAATTAAGAAAGAATCTGTACAAACTGGAAAGGTGAACACCCCAAGAAAAAGTACCACTTGAGGCAATCTAAGGCTTAGGGTCTGAACATTTTAAGGTTTGGTGACTTGAATACATATCTACAGGCGGGATGTGTCTCCTGTGCTTTGCAAATCTTTAAATTCCTCATTGAAATGTTAGTAGAGGTTTTGGGCTTTCTGTCAAATCCTATTTCCATGAATGAGAGGTTTCTTGTGAATATCCTCCTACCACATTGCAAGAGCATAATTCCACTCTGATATGTGGAGAGAACAACACAACTGCTTTGAGATGCAATTCTTGGAGCCAGAGAATACAATTAGTCGATCTGAGAGCACACAATTCAAATTAATAAAACTTAAAAACAAGGTCTTGAGTTTAAGGTCTTAGTTTAAATCCAAATTACCAAAAACAGGTTCCAAGTTCTGCAGTATATCCTCTAACCCACTCTGTTGTATCTGTGTTGTTGTCATCCGCTCTATTTTTATATCTTTCTCTCTCAATTGTATCTAGAAGACCATTCATAATGTGATGTTATTTACCCACACTGTATTTCAACATCAATTATTATCCTGGCTCAATGTAGAAATCGTGACCACAGATTACCAAATTTTGCTACCTGCTATCCACTTTTCCAGGGGACTCCACTCTCCCTTGTGATTAGTATTCTAGGTAACTACTCACCAAAAGTCATTAGGATTTCTAATACTGTGGGTGGGTGCTTTTCAGGTGAAGTTGGCCATCTACCTGAAATACCTGCAAGCCATGGGATGGTGTTTGATATTCTTCATCATCGGTGCCTATGTGACCAATTCTGTAGCTTATATTGGATCCAACCTCTGGCTCAGCACTTGGACCAATGACTCTAAAATGTATAATGGCACTAACTATCCAGCCTCTCAGAGGGACCTGAGAGTTGGTGTCTATGGAGCTCTGGGAGTAGCACAAGGTACGTCTGATGGCTATGACCGCCATCTCTTCCAGAATCTGCCTGGTCTATGTACTTTGTCTCGACTCGGAAAAAACTGCCATCATGTCCTTGGCACAAGTCTTCAGGGATCCTGTGCATAGTACTGACTAAACTGGTTCCATTTTTAGGTGTGTCTGTGCTCCTAGCAAATCTTTGCAGTGCCTATGCTTCCACTCACGCCTCAAACATCCTTCACCAGCAACTGCTAAACAATATCCTTCAAGCACCCATGAGTTTTTTTGACACAACACCCACAGGCCGGATTGTGAACAGGTTTGCTGGTGTAAGTATCTAAAGGGCTGTATGATATTGTGTTCTTATGCTGAGGATCTTTCCACTGCTAACAGCGAAAGAATTCTATCCCCCTAGGCAACACTATGCAGTTATAGTTCTTTTGTCCACTTAGCATGCAAATATTTATTGAGTTCCTTGTGTGAGGTCCCGAGGATCTTGGGGATACAGAGATGAAAGGCTCTGGACCTTTAAGAGCTCACGATCTAGTGAGGGAGACGGCCAAGGAAATAAAGGAGTATAACAGGATACAATAAAACCAATAACAGCATGTGTATATATAGTGGTGACCTGGGAGTACAAAACAGTGACAGAACAAAGAGGTACTAGCTCAGCCAGGTGGGTGACAAAGCGGGAAATGTCAGAAAACGTGAGACTTGAGTCATAAAAGGAACTTAGCCAAGAAGATGTGGTGGAGGGAGGGAGGGCTGTCAGTAGAAGAAAAATGAGGATTATCCTGCAGAGGGAAAAACACACGTAAAAGCACAATCACTGGCCATGATGGTGAATAAAAGAGAAAGCAGAGTAACTCTTTGCTTGGTCTCTGCTCCCTTCCTATTCTATCTTGATACTTTAAGATAAGTAAATGAAGTCTGGAAAAGAGCCACCTATAATTTTAATAAAGTTCTAAAACATTATTTCCATGTACTGCAGATCCTGGAACCCCTAGCATTTATTTATTCAATGCCATTTATTGAGCACCTGATATGAGCCAAGCACTGTAAGACGCACTAGAATGCTTGATAAATGATAGGATCATAGATGACTGTCTTCCAAGGGCCAAACCGAACTCATGATTCTTAATGCATTTGAGATGGAAATTTTAGGAACAGAGGCAGAAACCAAGTAATTCTGAGTAACGGTCAACGGTCATCAGCACATTTTTAGTCTTTTTTTTTTTTTTTTAATTTATTTCTGAGCGAGCGAGAGAGAGCGAGTGAGCATGAGCAGGGGAGGGTCAGAGAGAGAGTGGGAGACACAGAATCTGAAGCTGGCTTCAGCCTCTGAACTAGCTGTCAGCACAGAGCCCGACGTGGGGCTCGAACCTACAAACCGTGAGATCATGACGAGCTGAAGTTGGACGCTCAACTGACTGTGCCACCCAGGCACCCCTTGTCTTCTGGTTTGTAGAAAAGGGAGCACATTTTTATAAATGTCTGAGCAGCTTTGGACCCTTATCTTTTTGGCCTTGGAACAGACACAAAAGCCAGCCCACAACTAAGTTCTGGGGACATTGTGGCTGCTTTAAAAATGGGCAAGTTGACTGGTCTCCATTTATCACCTTTCCTCTGGGACAAATATGGTGAGCATGATGTCATTGGAGACCACTTTAATGGGTTTTCTGCTCTTTAATAGAACCTAAAAAAGCATACTATTTTGTTAGGTTAGGTTGGTTATATTAGTTTTTTAGTTAATTTATTTTTAATGTTTATTTTTGAGGAGAGAGAGACAGTGTGTGAGCAGGGTAAGGGCAGAGAGAGAAGTTTGTTTATTTATTTAAATGTTTATTTTTGAGAGACAGAGTGTGAGTGGGGGAGGGGGGCAGAGTGAGAGACACACACACAGAATCCAAACAAGGCTCCACGCTCTGAGCTGTCAGCACAGCTGATGTGGGGCCTGATGTGGGGCTAGAACCCATGAACTATGAGATCATGACCCAAGCTGAAGTCAGACCCGACTGAGCCACCCAGGTTACCCCTATTTTTTTAAAAATAGGATCCATGCCCAACGTAGGGCTTGAACTCATAACCCTAAGATCAAGAGTCTCATGCTCTACTGACTGAACCAGCCAGGTGCCACAAAGAGAATGCAATTTTATTTAAAAAAAATTTTTAACATTTATTTTTGAGACAGAGCATGAGCACGGGAGGCGCAGAGAGACAGGGAGAGACAGAACCTGAAGCAGGCTCCAGGCTCTGAGCTGTCAGCACAGAGGCCGATGTGGGACTCAAACTCATAAACTGCAAGATCGTGACCTGAGCCGAAGTCGGATGCTTAATCGACTGAGCCACTCAGGCACCTTGGGCATGCAATTTTATTTATTTAAAAAATTCTTTTTAACATTTATTTATTTTTGAGAGACAGAGTATAAGCAGGGGAGGGAGAGAGAGGGAGTCACAGAATTCAAAGCAGGCTCCAGGCTTTGAGCTGTCAGCACAGAGCCCGATACAGGGCTCAAACCCATGAACCGTGAGATCATGACCTGAGCTGAAGTTGGCCGCTTAACCAACTGAGCCACCCAGGCGCCCCTGGGCACGCAATTTTAGATGGGGAGATTTCTCACAGGAATTTTGCAAAGATTGCACACCTTTTTCTGATGTTGTTATATATATAAAAAATATACATATGTATATAAATACATATATATATTCCATGGAATATATGTATATAGAATATATGTATATATGTATAAAACATGGAATTCTTGTTATGTGCCAACTTAGTTATATATGTAATTAATCTTCTGAAAAAGAATGCAGAAATCTTACTGTTAGGCAACTGTCATATTTTGCTAACTGCTTTTGCATAAAGAAGGAAACTGTCATTGACTATATGGTGAATTTTGTGGGGAAAGGTGGCTCACACCTATAAAGGAGGATTTGACTTAGAGTCCTCTGGAATAGATGGTTGAGCCCTTAAGAAGAGAAGAAGGGAGGGGATGGAAGAAAGAAAGATGAAGAATCTATGCTGGTAAAGGACAAAAGTAATCTACATAGAACCAATAGCTGGTGAGGATTTCTTTTTCTGCCAGTCCTGGACATGTAGTTATTTGTATTCTGATAGGACTTTGAGAAGGTAAATTAAATTCAGTCATTTAGGACTCTTGGGAAACTGTTATCTCTTACCCACTCCAGAGATAATTTGAACTCACCTTGATACCCACATATTACTAATTCTAAAATCCATATAATCTAAGAAATATAGGTAAGGGAAGCCCAAAGTATAAGTCAGACTTCCTGTGTATACTAACTCCTTATCCATCCATCCATCTATCCATCCATTTGTTCATTTATTCAACATGACATGAAGGAAATATGACAGTAAGACCCATTTGTCACCTCTGGGTTACTTGGTTAGAACATTGGTCAGGCGAGGGTCACATTTGACCTCCACCTCTCTCCCCATGAAGCTCTATGCTCACAGAGAAAACAGCTTCCTAGGCAGATGATGTTTCTTCAGTCAAGGGTGGGTGACAAGGCTTGTTGACTGGAGGCTTCAAACAGGTGGAATTCTTGTTATGTGCCAGGTTCTATTTTAGGTACTGAATGGAATTAGGACCTGTGTAAAGTTAGATTAATTGAATTGGCTCAGTTATAGGAAGATTTACCTGTAAAGCTCTATTAGCTTACAATGATTATGAATGGTTTAATAAATTTGACAAATGAGAATTTCACTGAGAAGAGTGAAAACCTTTACCAAATCTGTTGAAAAAGGTGAAGGGTGACTGCCATATCTGTTTGGAGGGATTTAGAAAGATGAAGAAATTACAGAAGATTGGTTATTGGGATGAGAACAGTGCTGCAAATGAATCTCATGAAATGATTAAATAGAGGAGTCCCTGGGAAGTCAGAATCCAACAAATCCCTTGCTGGAATCAGGAAGATGGAAGATGTCCTAGTAATCCACTCCCATAGCATTCTTCTAATTATGTGTTCCTAGGATATCTCCATGGTGGATGACACCCTCCCCATGTCCCTGCGAAGCTGGATTCTGTGCTTCCTGGGAATCATCAGCACCCTGGTCATGATCTGCACCGCCACTCCCATCTTTGTCATTGTCATCATTCCCCTTGGCATCATTTATACATCTGTGCAGGTAGGTTCAGAAAGACCTAGGTGTCCTTTCCTCTCTACTTACAAAAGCCCAGGCTTCCTCCTGAGAATCTTCTCTTTTGTTTAGTGCTAGTCATTCAGTCCTGTCTAGCATCATTGTAACTTAGTCCTATATTGACATACCAAGGAGCCCACAGACCACTGTTTGGAGATGAAGTGTCAGCACCAACTGGTGTGTGGTTCACAGCAAATCTCACCTTAGCTGCTGCCCTCCCACAACCCTCAACTAAAGACTTATGTGGGGCAGATTTATGTTTGGACCTAAGGCTACTTTGAGGTTGGCTCTGGAGTGTCTGGAAGTTCTATAAGATTCCCCATAATGGATAGGTCATTGGTTGCTTCTTAGAAGAGTTGTACTATGGCTGCTTCCTTGATTGGCTTAGGCTTATCTGCTGGGAGATGTCTCTTGGCAGAAGTTAGAGCTCTATTCAGGGCAATTCTGGTTTCACCTGGGTGTCTATGGATGACTTAGACTCAATGCCAATATGTTCTTGAGGGAACAGATAGCTTGTAAGTCAAGTGGATCAAGTGGAAGGGACTCCATGCCCATATATTTTTTAAAAAATATTTTTATTTATTTCTAGGAGAGAGAGAGACAGCGTGAGCAGGGGAGAGTCAGAAGAGAGGGAGATACAGACTCTGAAATAGGCTCCAGGCTCTGAGCTGGCAGTCAGCACAGAGCCCGACGCAGGGCTCAAACCCACGAACCGCGAGATCATGACCTAAGCGAAAGTCGGACACGTAACCGACTAAGCCACCCAGGCGCCCCTCCATGCCCATATTAAAAACTGATGGGGGGGGGGGGGCAAGTTATGGAAAGGATTCTTTGGGATGAACTGTTCACCTTGGGAAAACAATTCTGAAAAACTTGCAGTCAAGCGCAGCCTTGTGGTTCATGGTAAGGTGACAACCCCTGGTATTTGTGTTAAGTTCCTCTGGTACATTGTTATCTCCATAACCGGCTCTCAGCCATTAATGATAAGCCAACAGTAAGAAGAAGGATATTTGAGTGCTCGCTTCGGCCGCACATATACTAAAATTAGAAAGAAGGATATTTGAGGAAACTTGTAGATATAATGTTTTGAATTCAGACTCTCAAATGCCCAGCTCTTTCCTAGTCTCAACAAATCCTCACAAGTTCTAGTAGCACCACAGAACTGCATTCCACTAAATTTCATCCTTCAGCCTGTGTCTCAAGGTCTGTCTGCACATATAGTTCTAGTTCTTAGGCCCTCAGCATTCCACATATTTCCACAACAGCCTTCATACACCATTGAAGCAGAGTTTGGTCACTTACCAGACTGTTCAATTTTTATCTAATCCTCAGGATACCTTTCCTCTGGCCATTTCCTGCCCATCTCTGTTTCCACATCTCTTGGGTCCCAGCTGTTATTTACAAAATCCCTTTGGAGACAGTTTTTTCAGCTACTACAAAAAAACTATCGCTTGGACAATATATGCAGATTCTTTGGGAGACTATGGATCAGGCTTACTAAATTTCTGAAGTGATCTAGTGTCCTCACTTTCATCCTCCTCTGGTCCCCAACATCTTCCTGGGTCTCTCTCATCATTGCCCCAGCCAGGTGTGAGCCTAGAGTCTCTTGTCCTGTTCAGATATGGGCTGTGGCCATCAAGGTGAAGAACGCGGAGTCATGGCCACAGAGGAAGAGGTACTGCATATGCGATGTGATAGTGATTGTGACTGACTCTTTACTTTTGGGGTACAGATGTTTTATGTGGCTACTTCCCGCCAGCTGAAACGTCTGGACTCTGTCACCAGGTCCCCAATCTACTCTCACTTCAGTGAGACTGTGTCAGGTTTGTCTATCATCCGTGCCTTTGAGCATCAACAGCGATTTCTAAGACATAATGAGGTGGGGATTGATACCAACCAGAAGTGTGTCTTCTCCTGGATTGTCTCCAACAGGTGAGGCTGCCCCTGGGTATTTACCCAAATATATGCTTTAGGGTTCTGTATGTTTGACCTTAGCTATGGGAGGGCGGGTATAGCCAGTGATGTGAAACATGCCTGTTGCAGAAGTAGAAGAAAGTATGAGGTTTGGAGTCAGAGACTGGGTCCTTGTGCCTACTCTATTTACCAAGTTGGGTAAAATGCCTTGACATTTCCAAGGAAAATCTCATTTTTGGCTTGTTTTTACAGCAATTAGAACACAACCTACAATATAGGGCTATGGTGGAAGCCCAATGATATTTATGAGCATTTGGTATTCCAGCAACTAAAGCAGCGCTGGGTGAACTGGATATGCATAGTTGGCTTTCCTGAGAGTGGAAGTGAGGTTCTCCATAGGCAGTACAGGCTTGTAGGGTGGCAAAAGAAGCCAAGATTGGAGGGAGGAGACTATGGAATGTTTAGGTAAAAGCAGTGATGACAGAACTGGAAAGCTCATATCCTAGGAGGTGAATTCCTGAGTAGGGTGAGCATCCTACATTTTTGCAGCAGCATCATACCCTGGCAAGAAAAGATATGTCCTTGGAGGTCTTTTTCAGGAAGTGACCATTCCTGAGTGACTACCACATTGTCTTGAAGCGTTGAGGGCAGGCTAATGATGTTCAGTATTGTCTGGAACATGGAGATGTCAGGACTCTGATTGTGAAGAGACTTTATTTCTTAGATATTTTCCAAGAACACTGGCATGTAATGATGTCTATATATTATTCAGTTCTGTATAAAGTTCCAACATATCACTCTGTGATCCACTTGCACCTCCATCTCCAGCTTCTTTACCTTTTCAAAATCATGAAATCAGGGTGCACTGAACTGGTGTGCGGTGCTTACCTTTCTTACCTTACAGATGGATGCTCTACGGCATTGCCCAATCCCTATTCTCTATTGCCCTGCTTAATCAAAAGAAACCACTTAGAACATATATTAAAAATATAAATTCCTGGGGCACCTGGGTGGCTCAGTCAGTTGAGCGTCTTGACTTTTGATTGCGGCTCAGGTCATGATTTCATGGTTCGTGGGTCAGGGTCTGCTCTAACAGAGTACAGCCTGCTTGGGATTCTGTCCTTCTCTCTATCCCTCACCAACTTAACACACACTCTCTCTCTCTCTCTCTCAAAATAAACAAAAATACACATTCCTGGGGCACCTGGTGGGCTCAGTCAGAGCATGACTCTTGATCTTGGTATCATGAGTTTGAGCCCCAGTGCTGGGGGGACAGTTTACTTAAAAATCTGGACTCCTGAAGTCTGCCCTAGGCTCTCTGAACCAGAATCTCCTGAGGGTTAAAGTCCAGGAATTTTTTTTGGCATGAATTTGTGTACTATTACCTCAGACGGTTCTTATGATTTGGCAAGTATGGGGGAGACTGAATCACAGGATTCCCTAGGGTAGCAAACTTCTCTAGTACCTTTAAAATGTGATTTATTTTCTAAACTTTAATTTAAAAGATTTTAGAACATATGGTATAGTCAAATTGAGGCATCTCATGAGAACACAGCCCTACCAACCCAATCCGTCTGAGAATGTTCCATGAACACCTAGGTTCCTGGTTAGGGCAAGGAGGTGAAGATCAGTAACACCTTTCTCTCTGGTTCTGTTGGCCCACAGGTGGCTTGCAATCCGTCTGGAGTTGGTTGGGAACCTGATTGTCTTCTTTGCATCCCTGATGATGGTTATTTATAGAGCTACACTAAGTGGAGACACTGTGGGCTTTGTTCTGTCCAATGCACTTAATGTGAGTCTTAAGGTTGGGAGTTTGTGCTCTTGATTCCTTTCTAGATCCATAAGGGAGTAGGGAAGACCGAGGTTCAAACCCTGGCTTCATCTCTTACTAATTGTATAGCCTATGGACATGCTCCTTACCCTTTCTAAGCAGCTCCAGTGTCATCTGGAAAAACAGACAAAAACTTTGTTGCCCTTGAGAGTTAAGAAAGCAGTTTGATATGAAGCAATCTAATAGTTCCCCATCTTATTGCCTCTTTGCTGGATACTAGTCAAAAGAGAATAAATGTTTCTTTTCCATAAGGTAGTAGTAACCAGAAAGTCTTTTGACTATCTTTTCCTATGTTTCTGTTTGTTAAGTCACAGAATAAGGTTACTTCTAATAAAGAACAGAGTCCAATAAAAAGATATGCATCCCCATACATGTTAGACATTATTTCCTAGTGTCCAAAACTGTCTGGCACCACAGTAAATATTCACTAAATGACACATTTGACAAGTCATCTGGCCATCCTCCATGGTATCTTTTGTAACTAATATGTGGGAGGTTTACATAGCTACCAGACAGCTCCGTGTGGTGCTGTGTTCATTAGGAGTTAATATAGGCCCAACGCGATCGTGGCGGAGCACCCAAAAGGACTCTTGTTCACCGCAGTTACTGGACTGACCTTATGGTTTGACTAATTGAGTTGGTTTCTGAGCCTGAGATGATTTTCTGTAGATCACACAAACCCTGAACTGGCTAGTGAGGATGACGTCAGAAATAGAGACCAACATTGTAGCTGTTGAACGAATAAATGAGTACATCAAAGTGGAAAACGAGGTAAGGAGAAATTAGAAGAACCCAAGGACAAGCAAAAAAAAAAAAAAAAGTTTCCAGTCTAGAGTCATAAAGTGGAGTCATACTTTACATACAATTCAATCCAGTTTCTTGAAACTTAGAATAGGAAATGGTTTGGGGGTAGAGGGTGGGGGGAGTCAGGTCTTGGAATGCACCAAGTTAAATGGTATCCTCATTCTGTAGCTCCACAGAGCAACCTTGAGGGATGGGGTTTCTTTAATTGGAAACTTCTGGGAGTTGCAGTCTAGTCAACACAGATGCCCACAGGTGGCTGGGATACTCCTCTCCTGCTCTGTGCCAGGAGTCCTACGGGTACTATTCAGTGAATTGCCACCATGTAAAACATTTCCCTTCCTCTCTCTTTGCCAGGCACCCTGGGTGACTGATAAGAGGCCTCCTCCAGGTTGGCCTAGCAAAGGGGAGATCCAGTTTAACAACTACCAAGTACGGTACCGACCCGAGCTGGACCTCGTACTGGACGGGATCACTTGTGACATTAGGAGTACGGAGAAGGTAGGTGGAGCTGAAGAAAGGCCTGAGTGTGAGTCCTTGTGATTTGGACACAGAAGGGGAGAGCAGCTGGACTCTGCTTTCATCACTGAGGCAGAGGGATAGGGTCAGGGCATTTCTGCCCAATGGAGGTATAAGGACACAGTACCCCCGCCCCACCTCCCTCAGAGGGCAGGATGTCAACAAGGGATCAAACAGACTTACTGGGCCTGTAAGAGTTTTCTGCTGCGCCCTTCCGGGCCAGCATCATCTTGTTGCTGATGTGGGCTTCTTTCCTGTAAGGGCCATGACAGAAAGCACCCCACCTGGGGAAGGAACTGGAGGTGGTCTCTGCAGAGATAATAACTTAGTTCTCTGGGCTGAAAACTCCTGTGCCTTCTCTCTGAGGACCTGGGGTCTGATGCAAAAATGTAAAAAAAAAAAAAAAAAAAAAAGTCTAGGTAATGATGCTGAGGTCCAGCTGATGAGGTTCTCAACTGATGTGAGGAAAAGGAAAGGGTCAGGCCTAACTTCTAAACAAAGGTTTTTTTTAAACCCTATAATGTCTAGTCATAATTACAACAACAGCTGTCAACGTGTACACTTCCAGTGGCCATTATAGTTCTGAGCAACCAACAGTTTAGAAGGGAAAATGAGAAGGCATCTTTTTCTGACATCTGGGCCCTTTTTCCCCCACCAAAAATCAAAATCAGTAGAACATCTTAGAGATGAAGTAGCCAATCACTGCCCAGAATGTCCCAGGCTAAAATGTTTTCCCCCAAAGAAGTACACAGCAAACTAATGTGCAAAGGAACTGTATTTACAGATTGGTGTGGTCGGCAGGACAGGAGCTGGGAAGTCATCCTTGACAAATGCCCTCTTCAGAATCCTCGAGGCTGCAGGTGGCCAGATCATCATTGATGGGGTAAATATTGCTTCCATTGGGCTCCACGACCTCCGAGAGAAACTGACCATCATCCCCCAGGTGAGCTCTAGAACTTACTCTGCACATGCAGCAGGGCACAGCTTTTTCTGCAGGAAACCTATGCATCTTATTCTTGATGTATATTCAGTTAGCGGTTTCATACCAGGATACCCTATGACCCGTGGTCTCCAGAACTGATAAAAATAACTTCTGCATTTTGTGGTAATACGCTTATGTGACTGCCAGCATCTAACCACTAGGTGGCAGCAACACAACAGTCAAATTGAGCAGATGATTATTTAGCATTTCTCTAGCCCGTCCTAGGTTCGCAAGCCCTTTGCAATCAACATTAGCAGTTTTGCCACTGAAGCTTGAAACCATTAAGCTTTATACTCCCCATTTGACATGGTTAAAAGATTGGGGAGGGAATTTGCTGCAGGTTTTTGCCAGCAAATGGAACGCTTAGTGCATCAGCAAAAGAAACAAAAAACAAAACAAAAACAAAAAAAGGCTTCTCTTTGGCTTCCTTTCTGGACCCTGCCAAATAAGGACCCAGGTATCACCACCCCCTTGCCCCCCACCAGCCGAGAAGCCTCCAAGGAAGTCCTTATTAGAACCATTCCTCCTCTGCTCTTCTAGCCAAGTCCCTGGGGGTGGTTTTGGTTTGTCTGGTGTTCGCTCAGTTTGAATCTTCTCCAGCTTAATAAATTCCTTCTGTACTGTCCCTTCCTCTGACCACCCCTGATCCCTCCACCTCTATACCAAGAGTTTTCATGGAAATCCATAAATAAATGTTAAAATGAAAAACAAAAACAAAACCAAGAACTCCTCTTAATCCTGTGGCACACCCCCCCACACACACCCCCTGAGTCTTCAGTGAGAAAACTTTGCAAAAGCTTGACCACTAAACAGCCTTGCACCTCAGGCCAGTCCTAGCTGCTTTCTCCTGGCCACAAAACCCAAAAAACTGCTAGACCCTTTTTTGTCATTACGCTCAATAGCTCCCTCATCCCCTAACTTGCAGGATCCTATCCTGTTCTCTGGAAGCCTGAGGATGAATCTAGATCCTTTTAACAACCACTCAGATGAGGAGATTTGGAAGGCCCTGGAGCTGGCTCACCTCAAATCCTTTGTGGCTGGCCTGCAACTTGGATTGTCCCACCAAGTGACAGAGGCTGGTGACAACCTTAGGTAATGTTTCATAACCCACTTCCCCCATAGGCACTGGGAGGACGAGAAGGGGACCTGCTCTTTTATCCCTTGGCCTAGGTAGTCCGTGGTATCGTAGGACTGCCTTTGGAATAGCAAGCAGGGTGTGGACCGTTAGCACATGAAGCCCAGAAGCAAAGGGAGGCCCAGCAGCTCTGGCTTCCCTTGGAAACTTGTTACAAATGCACACTCTGACTCTAGCCCTACTTACTAATCAGAATCAACATTTTAGCAAGATTCTAAGGAATCTGTGTGTACATTACAGCCAGAGAAGCACAGCCTAAGAGTATTGATTCCTAACTAGGCCACACGCTAGAATCACTTGGGAACATTCTTAAAAATCCCAATGCCCAGGCTTTACCCCAGACCAGTTGGGTGAGAGGCCCAGGTGACCTCAGTGTGTGACTTCTCTTCTCCTGCAGAAATTTTTTTAATGTATTTTTTTTTTTTTTTTTTTTTTCTGAGAGAAAGAGAAAGAGAGAGATACAGAACCTGAAACAGGCTCCAGGCTCTGAGCTGGCTGTCAGCATAGAGCCCGACTCAGGCTCGAACTCCCTAACCGTGAGTCATTACCTGAGTCCAAGTCAGACACAGAACCGACTGAGCCGCCCAGGCGCCCCTCCTGCAGAAATTTTCTTAAAGAGAATTACAGAACTCTAGTCTAGCCACCCTCTGTTTAATACATTCCCTAATGGCCACAGCAGGAAACAGCAATTAGTGAATTCTGTAGTATTTCCTCCACATCATTTCCCAAAGCTTCTTTATGTAAGTAAGAGGTCCAGCCTTCATTACTGGCATTTAGCAAATTAAAGCGATTTGCATTTTACTAGCATATTCGAATTCCACATACATTGCATCTCACACCAAGCCATCACGTTCATTAGAGAGCTCTGTCTCTAATCAAGGCAGAAGGCCTTGAACAAATAATTAGCCTTGAGATTAGAATTACACATTAAAATAATGAATGGGTTTGCTAAGGCCACTAAGAAAAGCCACTGGGGCATTCTGATGCAATGTCACCATGTCATATTCATGGTGTCAGGTCAAATATTGTTGCAGTGAACTTGGTGGCATCCTGTCTTATTTTGGAATTGCTGTTGAGGTGCTAGGCTTTCACGGTACTGATGCAAAGGACTGTTCCTGGGCTAGGCTGTTCCAAACTCCTCAAACATGAAGACTGCCTAGGGTACTTATTAAAAATACAGGTTTCTAGGCTCCTCCCCATTCTGCTTAGAAGACGGGGACCCAGAAATATGGATTTTAAAATTAAGTACCTGGGGTAGGTACTTTTGAAGAAAGTTTGGAAAACATGGTCTTTGCCTCTTCCATTAGGTGTTCATTCTGGAGGAATTTAGGAGTAGGGGTTCTGAAAGCCTGATCTGGAACATGAAAAGTGCATGTGCGTGTACACGCACACACCCATCCCACGTTACACCTTGGTCCTGAGGGGCTAATGCTTGGTTTGTTCCACTGGCCACAGCATAGGGCAGAGGCAGCTGTTGTGCCTGGCCAGGGCCCTGCTTCGGAAATCCAAGATTCTGATCATGGATGAGGCCACTGCTGCGGTGGATATAGAGACTGATCACCTGATCCAGATGACCATCCAAAAGGAGTTCTCCCACTGCACGACTATCACCATTGCTCACAGGCTCCACACCGTCATGGACAGTGACAGGTGAGTGTGGGTGACAGAGCTGGACAGACCCTTGAAAAACAGTAAACACATTATCCATAAGATATCTTCCAGCCAAAGATGCTGAGAATTCAAGTAATGGGTCCAAAATTCTACATCAAGCTAATGAAAGCCAAAAGGGTTAAGGGAAGGGTCTTGAGGGTATAATGGGCAACAGTAAATTAAATGAGTGTGGGAGGTAGAGGCCCAAGCCACGAGAGGCAGACCTTAACCACAGATTTTCTCAACTCAACTGGATCTCAGCAGCTGCCTCTATACTCTATAACTGAAGTTTTCTGCTTCTTCCAACTCTGACCTCTTACATTAAAAATGGGGGTAGGAGCGCATGGGTGGCTCAGTTGGTTAAGCATCCGACTTCGGCTCAGGTCATGATCTCATGGTTCGTGGGTTCGAGGCCCACGTCGGGCTCGGAGCTGGAGCCTGTTTCAGATTCTGTGTCTCCCTCTCTCTGACCCTCGCCTGCTCACGTTGTCTCTCTCTCTCTCTCTCAAATTTAAAAAAAAAGTTAAAAAAAAATAGGAGTAATGTTCATAATCTTGCAACCTGTTTGGAGAGAACAGTCTCCCTCCAACAATGTATAACTTTAAAAACTTATGTAAATAGATTTATGCTGTATATATTCTTCCACTTGATTCTTCAGCATTATCTCTGGAATCCACCCAGGCTAACGCAGACAGCCATGGTTCACTCATTCTCATTGCTTTGTTCCCTTTTATAAATGAATTTACCACGACTTAGTACTGGTTGTTCTTATAAATGCCAAGATTTGAGATGCTAAGACCTTTCTTTCTCCTTTGTTTCAGGATAATGGTCCTAGACAAAGGGAAGATTGTAGAATATGGCACCCCTGATGAACTGCTGACAAATTCCGGCCCGTTTTATTTGATGGCCAAAGAAGCTGGCATTGAAAATGTGAACAGCACATCATTCTGACAGTAGGTGCCATGGGCTGGAGAAGGAAGGATTATTCCTTATTTTTTAAGAAAGCTATCACATAGAATTATGTGAAATGTACCTTTTAAAGAAGGCTATTACAGCTTTTGTGAACCTACTTTGTAACTATTATCCTGAATTTTGTGGTAATTACATCTTCCTGCCTTTCATTTTAGTTCTACTACTTGGTATGTATCCTTGAACAAGGTATACTTTTTAATTTATGTAAATGACCTCACTCATATTTGACATATTCTGTTTTTGAGATTCATGCATGTTGATGCACATAGTGAGGCTGGTTCTTTCTCACTGCTCTGAAGTATGGCAGTATGTGATTGACACTGTGTATCCATTAAAATTTTTTTTGTTATTAAAAAACATTTATTTTAATGTTTCATTTACTTTTGAGAGGGAGACACAGAATCCGAAGCAGGTTCTGAGCTGTCAGCACAGAGCCTGACACAGGGCTCGAACCCATGAACAGTGAGATCATGACCTGTGCCAAAGTTGGATGCTTAACTGACTGAGCCACCCAGGCGCCCCAACAGTGTATCCATTTTAATGTTGGTCAGCAGGGTTATTCCTAGGGTTCCCCATTCCCTTATTATGAACAATATGGGTAGGAACGTTCTGGTATATTACTCCTGAGATACATGTTTAAGTTTCTTCAGGATGTAATGTAGGTGGGGTGGGGTATGCACATGTTTACATGCACATATTAGGTAATGCAAATTTAAAACCCTTTTTGTCAATCCGATTGGTATCTTCCTGGTTACCTGTAAGGTTTCAATATGAGGTTTCTGTTGATTCTTATTCAAGACGTTTCATGTCCTTGTATGCCTTGTGAATTCTGACTGTAAGCTGCTCATTTTATTGGTGGACGTTCTTTGAGGGCTGAGTGGAATCTGAGCTCTCCTAAACAGAACTGGGAAAGTTTCTGCCTGTCATTTGGGGGCATTACCCAGAACCAATCTGAATTAAATTCTCCACTAGGGGCTTCAAACCATACAGTCAGTGTGACTTTAGACCACAATCCTGCACAAGGACCAACGCGTGGTTTACAAATTCTGAAGGGAGAGTCCTCCCCTTGACCTAGTGTCAGGTTGGAGACCGACATGTTGCCTTGTTGACTCTATCCCTCATTTACTTGTACACTGTTGGGCCCAGGTTTATCAGAGGGCCTCCTGTATTACCTACAAAGGTCAAAGTCTTCAGGTTTCAGAAGTCACCCAAGCTCTGACCCTTCCTTATCTTCTGGATTTTTTCGTGTCACATTACTTTGGGGTCAGTATATACTTTACTTCCATTTAGTGATGAAATGATCTAAAATTATCTCCATTTGTTCATTTTAGCTGTTGAGTGAGATGCTCAGAGCCTGGAAATGCCTGCCAGAAGAGAACAGTAGCTGCAAGGCTGGATGCAGAAGGGATTACTTCCTGTTTGCTCTGTTCCCAGCAACACTTTGTCCAGTACTCCTGGGACCAGTGTCCTCAGAGACCCTGGTGGGGCACCTCCTCTGTTTGGTTAGAAGTCTGTCCCAGCAGGCACAGCTATTCTCCAGAGGTAGCAGTGGAGAGGTCCCAGCACGGGGGCGTCCAGTGAGGTTGAACATCATTCCTGGCTTCAGTGAGCAACCTGCTGACGTGAAAATTCCCTTTCTGCTTAGGTTTACCAGAGTTGGGGACTGTTGTTTACAACTAAAAATACTCTCCAGCTAATTTATTATCACGGTCTCTATCACTTTGTCACACAATTTTCTGTTTCGGTCTCCCTACGTTGGTGAGCCTCCTGGAAACAGGAACGATTTATTTTTTGGCATCTCCAGGCACTGGACTAGAGCAAGTGAACACACATCTTTTCCAATGTTCAAAATCTTTTTAAAAAAACACAATGGGAAAGATATGTGCTAACGATGCAGCAGTAGGGAAAGAAAAGTTACTCCACATGATACATTGGTACATTTATTCTATCTGTGCCAATCAAACCAAGTTTTTACAGGCCAGTTTTGTACAAAATACTCCCGGAAGAAATCTGTTCCATTTAGGTCATAGGATAAGAATGCATTCAATCACAAATGCACACTGATCATGACTTTGCTAATTTTAAGTAAACACTATTGTATAAACATGGACAGTGGCCAGAGCACTTAGTTAGCTGTAAGTGTGGAGTCTTCCACATAGACACTAACCTGTTTTTTAAAAGGCTTTATGTTGGGGAACTGTGTGGCTCAGTCAGTTAGGCATCCAACTTCAGTTCTGGTCGTGATCTTGCAGTTTGTGAGGTCGGGCTCTGTGCTGACAGCTCAGAAGCTGCTTTGGATTCTGTGTTTCCCTCTGCCCCATCCCCTCTCTCAAATCCTTCCTTTTTTTTTTTTTTTAATCATGCAAATAGACATGAAAAGAAAGCTGAGGTAGCAATACTTACATCAGACAAAATAGAATTTAAGATAACCATAAAGGGAACATTCCAACAAGAAGATATAACTAAAAATATTTATGCATCCAACATGGGCATGGGAGCAAACAAATACATAAAGCAGCAAATAATAAAAGTAACTGATAGTAGTACAATAATAGGAGGGGACTTCAACACCCCACTGTAATCAATGGACAGATCACTCAACAGAAAATCAACAAGGAAACTGGACCAGATGGATTTAACAGATATATTCAGAGCATTCCAACCTAAAACAGAACACACATTCTTCTCTAGTGCACATGGAACATTCTCCAGAATAGGTCACATATTAGGCCACAAAAAAGTCTCAACAAATTAAAAAAGATCAAAGTCATACCAGGCATCTTTTCTGACCACAAGAAAAAATCTGGAAGAAGCACAGCTACATGGAAGTTAAATAACAGGATACTAAATAATAAATGGGTCAACCAAGAAATCAAAGAGGAAATTAAAACCATGGTCCAAGATCTTTAGGATACAGCAAAAGCTGTTTGAAAAAGGAGATTTCTAGCAATATAGGCCTACTTTAAGAACAAACATCTCAAACAACCTAGCCTAACACCTAAAGGAACTAGAAAAGGAACAAACCTCAAACTCCAATAGAAGGAAGGAATAATGATCAGAGCAGAAATAAATGATAGAGAAACAAAACACAACAAGACTGATAAATCTTTAGTCAGACTCATAAAAAAAAAAGACTCAAGATCAGAAATGAAAGAGGAGAAATAACCAACACCACAGAAATACAAAGGATTCTAATATTATGAAAAATTGTATGCCAGCAAATCGAACAGCCTAGAAGAACCGTATAAATTCCTAAGAGAAAATATGAACAAGCTGATTACCAGCAATGAAACTGAATGAATAATCAAAAAACTCCCAACAAATAAAAGTGCAGGACCAGATGGCTTCAAGAGTGAATTCTACCAAACATTTAAAGAACAGTTAATACCTATTCTTCTCAAACTATTCCAAACAGAAGAGGAAGGAAAGCTTCCAAATTCATTCTATGAGAACAGCATTACCCTGATACCAAAATCACATAAAGACACGATAAAAAAGAGAAATACAGCCCAAAACTCTGATGAATGTAGAATATTAGCAAACTGAATCCAACAATACATTCAAAAAATCATTCCCTACAATCATGTGAGATTTATTCCTGGGATGTAAGAGGGGTTCAATAGTCACAAATCAACCAGTGTTATCCATCACGTCAACAAAAGGATAAAAACCATAGGATCAGTTCAATAGATGGAAAAAAACATTTGACAAAGTATAACATCCATTCATGATAAAAATCTTCAACAAACAGGTTTAGAGGGAACATACCTCAACATAATAAAGGCCATATATGGAAATCCCACAGCAGGGTGGTTTAGTCGATTGAGCGTCCAACTCCCGATTTTAGCCGGGTCATGATCTTACAGTTGTGACATCGATACTCATGTTGGTCTCAACCCTGGGAATGGGAGTCTGCTTAAGATTTTCTCTCCCTCTTCCTCTGCCCCTCCCCTACTCATGTTCTCTCTCTCTAAAAAAAATAAATAAATAAAATAAATAGATAAATGAAAAACCCACAGCAAACATAATCATTGGGGAAAAACAGAGCTTTTCCCTTAAGGTCAGAAAGAAGATAAGGATGTCCACTCTTACCACTTTTATTCAACATAGTACTCAAAATCCTAACCCCAACAATCAGACAAGAAAAAGGAATAAAAGGCATCCAAATTGGTAAGGAAGAAGGAAAACTTTCACTACCTACAGATGACATGATACTATATAGAGAGAAAATCCTAAAGATTTCACAAAAACACTACTGGAACTTATAAATGAGTTCAGAAAGGTTGAAGGATACAAAATCAATATACAGAAATCTGTTGCATTTCTATATGCTAATCAAGTAGCAGAAAGAGAAATGAAAACAATTCTATTTATAATTGCACCAAAAATAATACTTAGGAATAGACTTAACCAAGAGGCGAAAGACCTGTACGCTGTACACTATAAGACATGGATGAAATAAACTGAAGCTGACACAAACAAATGGAAAAAGATTCCATGTTCATGGATTGGAAGAAGAAATATTGTTAAAATGTCCATGCTACCAAAAGCAAGCTATAGATTTAATACACTCCCTATCAAAATACCAACAGCATTTTTTTCTTTAAAAATTTTTTTAAATGTTTATTCATTTTCGAGAGAGAAAGAGCGTGAGTGGGGGAGGGGCAGAGAGAGAGGGAGACAAAATCTGAAGCAGGCTCCAGGCTCCGAGCTATCAGCACAGAGCCCAATGTGGGTCTTAAACTCACTAACCATGAGATCGTGACCTGAGTCGAAGCTGGACGCTCAACTGACTGAGCCACTCAGGTGCCCCTCAACAGCATTTTTCACAGATCTACAACAAATAATCCTAAAATTTGTGTAGAACCACAAAAGACCCTGAACAGTCAAAACAATCTTGAAAAAGAACAAAACTGGAGGTATCAGCAGATTTCAAGATCTGCTACAAAGCTGTAGTGATCAAAATAGTATGGTACTACCACAGAAATAGACCCACAAGTCAATGGAACAGAATAGAGAGACTAGAAATAAAACCACGATTATTTGCTCAATTAACCTTTAACAAAGGAGGAAAGAATAAATAATGGGAAAAACTCTATTCAACAAATGGTGTTGGGAAAACTGAACCACTTAGTCAGACCATACACAGAAATAAATTCAAAATGGATTAAAGACCTAAATGTGAGATTTTTATGGAAAAATCCTAGAAAAGAGCACAGGAAGTAATCTTTCTGACACTGGCTGTAGCAAAATTTTTCTAGATGTGTCTCCGGAGGCAAGAGAGAAAAAGACTATAAACTATTGCTACTACACCAAAATAAAAAGCTTCTGTGCAGCAAAGAAAACAATCA